TCTTACCTTTTTGGGTTGATTATTATCATTGTTTCATGCTTTCTGTTATTGTACATTCTGCACTGGTCAGGATTCATGAATTGAGATGTTCATTGAGGATGAACTGGTGTTTGAGAGCCCTCTTTGAGAATGTCTATTCGAACGGTTGATCGTAGTTCCTCAGATTGGATGTTTGAGTCTGGCTGAACATTCTTGATCAGTGCATCACATATGGTTCCTGCAAGGCAAGTTTTAGATTGGAACTTTGGTTGGGTCTCCTTATACAGAGATTGTCGTTGAATAGTGCGGCTCATCCACAGTCGGACCATTGAGTCACTTGCCGCAAAGTGTTAGAAGTGCATCTTGTTTAGACTAACATTGCAGCTTCGCACATGGGCCAAGCTGCGTATTAGGGCAGAGGCTAGGACCATTGTACATGCACGATTGTCGCACTTGTACAGTGACGGATGAAGTTATTGCCATTGGAACTTTGACAAGCCTTCGTCATTACCAACTGGCATGACAACAATCATCTACTACCATGATTGCACTGCATGATCGTCGCAATGGAAAGATGTGAACTACGATTGAAGGACTGTGACTGCATGTCTGAGATCAGCATGGTTTGTTGCATTCCTCTTGATTGTATTTTGACATAGAGCAGGATCTCCAGGTATCCTCATTGTCACACACATCGCAAACAACATCCTATTCCGTGATGCCATTGAACGTTGTACGAACTTTACTCGATGGCATTCCATTGTCTGACGATGGTTCTTTGTGCGAGATTCTGATTGATGCATTGCAGCGCACATTTCAGTTACTGATTTTTAAAGCTTGTCTGAGTCAACCGCTGCTTCAGACTTTCGATTTCATTGGTGGTTACCGTGACTTCTGATCTGCGCCATTATTGTAGTTACGCTTGTTGGATGTAAGAATTGCCTCACTGCATGGAGATTAGTGGCAAAGAGCAAACAGAAGCAGGATCTCTTGGAATTCCGGGATTGACTTTGGCCTTCAGCTGGTACCTTGCTGCTTGGTTCTTTTGAATGGATCGTTTATCTATTTACTGGAGTCATTGAACGGTGTCGAACTGGTTTCGACTTGACAAGGTTCTTTAGAGGTCCATACTTATCGCTGAGCGCTTCTGCATTGTTGCTTTGGGGACACTTTAGGGTCTTACTTACTTTGTGGCAATTGTCTTCGAACTGTACATTCGGTTTCTTCGTTTGTTTTTTTGGTTCTCTGTCACGTTCAGTCTTCTTCACAGATTGTCTGTTTCAAGGTTCACTGGTCTAGTCATGGGATTGTTACTATGTAGTGGAATCCTATTGTCTTCATGTTCAGTCTTTAGTTCCACTCTGCACATTGTAGCTGACCTTTAAACATAGCTCTGTCCGTGTATGCGTGTGATTGTCTCGTGATTCATCACGAAATCACGGACGTGAGCCTAACTTGGCGGCAAGACGTTTTCGGTCAACGGTGGCCACATTGTGCGATTTTGCGATCTGTCCTCATTGAAGGGAATGGATTGATGCGTTGTCTGCGTTGCTCCGTTCTCTGATTGCTATGGTTGCGTTTGGTCATTTCTCATGTACACAGTTCTCGCTGCTTTATTGCACTGTGTTTATGTTTGATTGGTAGCGACCTTGGCTATTGGTGGTGTTCCCGCATGCTGTCCCTGTCTGTGCGATCATTGTCGCTGTGGGGTTGCCATCAACTGCTTGCTCCTTGCCTTTTCTCTGACTCTATGCATCGGTCGGGGTCTCTATCTTATCATTGTTTCGTCTCTGTCCTTCTTCTTGTCTTGGTTCTGTTTGAGGGACCGTGAGTGGAGAGATTGTGAGTGTATTTTCAGTGGTGTACTTTGAGTGACGGAACGGATAGATTAAGGGACCGCAACTGACCGCAACTGAATGTGATCAACATCGTCTGGTCTAGAGCTGGGAGCATGTGTTGAACAGTTTTGTATTTGTCGTGTAAGGGTATCATTGCCTAGTTGTCTGCTGTACGTCTTAATCGACAAAGGATGACTGGTGTGTAACAACTAAGTGCCTGATTGCCTGATCTATTGTACAGGAAGAAAGGCAAATCATTGTACATAAAGAAAGGCAAACAAAACCCCCAACAAGAATTGTACAGAATTAAGTGAGCCTTGAGCCCTTGCTGTGTGAGAGTGATTTGGCGATGCTTGCTGCGGTATTGCTTTCAATCGGGACGAGTAGTGACTGCCATGGCATTGTGACACATGAGTCGTGTGAGCTTACGGAGACAGGTTGACGTCTCTTGCTATTGGCTCAACTGTGAGACAAAGGTGAGATTGTACAACAAGATCAAGGATTGCAAATTTGCTGAAGAAAGATTGGAGATGTTTCTGCGAACTTGGTCATTGAAGTTCCCAGATCTTGATTTTGATCAATTGCCCATTGGCGCTTCTGGACGTCGAGCAATTGATGCGACTGCACAATTGCCACCTCGAGACTCGAGATACACGAGAGTGTCGACACAGAGACAATCGGATTGTTAATACCAACAGGGATGCATTGTTTGCATTGAGATCTATCTTTCATCAAGCCAACGATTACGAAGCAATCATATTGCATTGTGAAGCACCAGAGTGGCATCTGCCAGGCAATGTCTCGCTCTCAACACTGGCAGAGTTCGCACATTGCATTTACCAAAACCTTGAGGTTGAACAATTGAGGCAGCGACATGACATTGATGGGGTCATCATTCTCATTCAGAAATTGTTGTATCCAAATGTGGAGTACATCGAGCACATTTTTGCTACATTGGGTCCACTACACACCGCGACAGAGTGGACATTGAACCTTCTTGCGAAGTGGTTCTGGAGCATTGAAAAATGCCGGCAACTGTTATCAGTTTGGTCAATTGAGCTGTCAGTACGCAAGTTACCCATTGCTTGCCAGTGCGGCACTTTGGCTATTGGACATTGTGTGAAGCCGACATTGAGCCAGAACAAATGCGGCGACATTGAACCTGATGTCCATCATGGTCAGATTGAGGAAATTCATTCTGACGAATGAGGTGTTACCCATGGACACGTTTGGATTGTGCGACCAACTGTTTGAATGTTGAACAGAAGCATTGCACACACCAACCTACAAATTGGTGGAACGCTCACTGCGAACAGCCACGATCATTTCCTTCTCTGCAGGGCAGTATGAAGACCAACTTCTATTGCCGCAGCTGCAGATGCGCAAAAAATTGCCACTGTTTGTGTTCATGGCATTGCCCCTGGCGATTGCAGAGCAATGGATCAAGACTCAAGATTTTCGATCATTGGCAACGCAAGTTTTGTGGCGATTGCCAAATGGGCAGGTGAGATTGTTCCTCACTCTCCATGGAGCCATCAATCAATTGACTCATTGGATGATGACAGGCTGGTTCAAGCGAAAGTGGAGAGAACCTATTGCAGTTCTTTCTTTTCCTGTTCCGATTGCGCATTACATTCCAATTCCATCTCGGACTGACACGAGGACGTGTGTGAATTGGTTCAGTGAACAACTCATGCATTGGGCAATGGAAACTAGAGCATTGCCAGACATGAGCTCGATCATGAGTCATTGCGAGGATATTGAGAGAAATGCTGCATCTAACCCAGTGCCAGGAAGAGATGAAATATTCGCATTGAAGCTCAATGAACACTGTGGAACATTGGCAGAACCTTTCAACTGGGTCTCAGGATCATCGAGGGCATTGGCTCGATGGTGCTTCACCAACCACATACAGATTCCAAAACGAATTGTCAAAGTTGTGCCATTGACCACTAGTGACGACTATCTGATTGCCGAGGTGCTACACCCAGTTCGGATCAGGCTGAATGGCATTCACCGGATCCAGCACCTCCAGTGATTTCAGTGAATACCCGAGAAGGTACACTGGAAAGTGTGATTGAAGACAACGTGGAGGAATGCTGATTGCGACATGATCTCAGGTCACAGATTGTTATGGCTATGCTACACTCGCCATTTCAATGGTCTCTGCATAGACCGGACTGGCATTGACATTTTCTTTGATGGATTTGTCATTCTGGATTGCTGCAACACTCAGTGGTTTGCTGATGGTGCACTGTTCTCTGCATTGACTGCACATATGATGTTCATTTCCACTGACGACCACTGAATGCATTGTACAGCTCATTGTTCATGGATCATCTGAACTTTGAGAGGAGTGCATCGGATTGAACTTCCCAGCTTTCGAACATTGTGGTGTGCAGCTCAAGTTCATAGGTATTTTGACTTGAGGGACCGCCATTGTCAGTCCACCTGCAGTGGTCATAGTCATTGTATTCCCGCCTTTTGTTCTCGCTGTGCATTGATTCTATATTTGCATTCTGTTTGAATTGGGAATGATGCTGAATGTGACAATTGCCCTGAGTGCATTGTCAAGGGACCGTGTTAGATTGCATTGCATCATTCCAGGTCTCTGCAGTACCACAAACCCAATTGTGGAAACTCCGACATTGGCTCAAGACGTGGCTCAAGTCGGTGGAAAATATTGAGCCCGAGTCCGTCCAGATTGGGAGCAGTCGTAGAGCATTTGAAGAGTTGTCAAACCACCCTCACGTATGTATTGAGGTAGCTATTGTCTTTGTTCTTGGAACTTTTTTTCAGGGGGGTAAATTTGAAGTACCCACCCTGCCCACCCTGGGGACCACCCTGGGGATAGCTAGCCGAAGGCTAGCGAAAATCTCCAGGCAACCGGGATAGTTGCCACTTCCGACAAAAGTGCGTCCGTGCTGGCCGCTGTTGTGTCTCGTCTTGTCGTCGCTCGGCCGGCTCGCTCGCTGCGTTTCTACTGCTATCGTCCCGGAGGTGTTCTGGGGATGGTGGAGGGATGTGGAGGGTTATAGGAGCTAGTGCACACCATATATATACATATGCTTCGCAACTTCCTTTCGAGAGTATGAGTTTATGTGCGTGATTTCAAAAGTGATTTCCGTGTGGAAAAGTGATGGGCGTGCAAAAGCAGCAATGTCCAAATTGCTTTACGTGCAGGTGCTCAGGATCATCGCTGTGAATGCCCATGTGCCCCACTTGGTTCTCTCCCAGTGCCATGCTTCCCCGAAGTTTCTTCTTGCCGCGCTGTGAGGGCTGGTCACAGGGAGATGAGAAGGCGCGCGGAAGGGCAGAGCAGAGCGGAGCGGAGAAGACGCGAGACGCCGCCGATTGCCGCGCATCTCTGCCGAGGGCCTGGGCTTGTGGCAGTGGCAGGCCTGGCCCATCCTGGCCCCCTGCAGCCCTGCTGCAGTTCTCCGCTTCGTTGCCCAGGCGTACATGAACCATGCCCCGGCTTCGGAAGCCAATTGCTCTGCCGCTTTTGCAGGGGAGGCCGCTCGGGGGTCCTGAAAGCCTGGGTACCGGGTTGAAGTCACAGCTCCGTGTCCAGGTCCTCCTGATGCGTGCCACAAAATGTATTGATGCAGAGCAGGCCTCGGCCTCGCAGTGACGACTTGGCCTTTTCGGCGTCCTTGTGGGTCCTCACGTCGTTGCCAGGAGTGCGTTCACTCGTACTGCCCCCCTTCGGCCAGCTTCTCGGTACGTCGGGCGATCTTGAGGCCAGAAGCTGAGTAATCGCCGTGACTACTTAGCTGCTCCCTCAAAGAACGCCTCAGGCAGTGTTGCGTGCCACATGCGGATGAGGAGGCTTTGTCGCTCTCCCAGTACGAAGATGCTGGCGACTTGCACTCCAAGTCACTGAGGTTCCAGGCAGAGGCTGCAGGAGGCCCCCATGCCGAGCTGCAGGGAAACCTGCCGCAGCCCCGCAGCCTCAGAGAAGTTGCTGTTGCCTTCGCAGCACTCTCAGGTTACTGGCCCGCGACAAGATGAAGGCCAGTTATCACCGCACGGGATGCCAGGAAAACCGCGGTTTGAAGGTTGCCGCCAGTGCAGTGCACGAAGACGACAACCGAAAGGCGCACACCTTGTGGAAGGAGGCGCACATCTTGCGAGAGGTAGGAGCGTGCAGCAGTGGCAGCAGTGCTGGCGGATGTGCCGGAGCAGGTCTTGAGCCTCCGTGTGGACCATCGCAGGCAGCGCATGGCTAGCAAATAAATAACGGGGCTGGTTCACACCCATATTGCCCGTACTGGGTTGTATACGAAACTCTAAACTTCGAATCGCCGATCATGTGATGCAAAAGTTGCGTCATGTCCGTTTCAAACTGGGCCCATTGTAAGCTTTCCAAGCCTTTGCAGAATCGAACTTTCATTCCGAGAGTTGGAATGACTCTGCGTGCTCGGGGCTTTGTTCGCAGGACATGCTTTCTGCATGCGAACGGAAATTGACCGACGATCCTGGAAACAAGTCTCATATCATGGCCTCTTGATCTCAATTTCTTCATGAAGAATAACACCTGCTTTGCATAGCTCTGCTCATTGCTATTCGTGGTCAACAAACGAACCAGCTCACCCATAGTAATGCCACGGAACACACCTCGTGCGTGCGAAGATGCTGGAGGAATGTAGTCATATATTCCAAGATGATTTCGGAAAGTCTGACAATAGACTTGCCAAGCATCGTTTAACTGCAACCTGAGGTCCAGGAAATGAACGTTCTCGGACAAATCAATGTCTTGCAAACGTCATGCTTGGAGGATGGCTTTTGTGCTACAGCGATTCCGTCATCGATGTATCTGGAGTCGTTTCTCAAGGCCGCATTTTCAATCACGAATACATCGAACTTGCAAGCCAAGAAAATGTTGGTGACTGTTCCTGAGCAGCTGAGCCCTGTTGGGAGCCGAGATGTTTGCTTGAAACATCCAATCTGCCCGTCGATCTCAACCATAACGAGCGGGTCTTGCAGTAAAGCTTTGAAGACCCTCAGCAGAAATTCACCTAACGCTGACTTGCCTCGAATGTCATAGAAGCGAAGCAAGGCTTGACCTACGACTTTGAAGACACCAGAATCTGGATCCCAGCCCTGCAACGACGGATATATCGCTTTGATGTCAAAGTCAACAGTCAAGAAATGTTCATTTGCACCCAACTGCAAACCTTCAAGACGCAAGACTGCTTGTCTGGAAGAACTGACAACCGTTTTTAAAGCATCCTGGAGCTCCAGTAACGCAGCATAGAGAAACAGTGAAAATGGTCCAATGAATGTACCACGTGTGTTGGATAAAGGTCTTGACTCAACTGGATGCTTATGCACTTTCACATTGATGCGCAGATTTGCGAACTTATCTGAATTGATATCAGCAAGCAAAAAACGTGACTGCCCGATTGAAATTGCATTCTCTTCAAGCGCGCTCTGCACCTGTTGCGTCGAATATGTTCGACCTCGAGCTCGAAGCTCAAGAGCTCTTTCAACACTGAGTCGTTCGAAGCAACGAAGGTGCTTGCGCAATTCATCGTAAATCCAAGACACACTTGTCAAAACGATACCCAGATTCTTGTCAGACTCCACAGCTCGAACAGTTTTGGCATTGTGTTGAAGTTAACTAAGAGCAAGCTTGTCCAAAAGAGTGAAGTTGAAGAATGGCTTATGCACTCTCATCGGCTCATACCAGAATTTTGCCAAGCCTCTGTGAAGCATCCTCCCAAAATGCTGAAGTTGAGACTCGGACTCCCCATAAAATTGAGCCGGAGCACCAGACATTTCAGTCAACAATCAAGCCGACCACGACTACTTGCCTGGCGATGGTTGCTCAATTTCACCATCCAAGACAGCTTGCGCAATATGTCATTCCTGAGGAAGTCTGAAATGTGATCACGTCTGGGCTGGGGAATGAATTTGAAAGATTTCGCCAGCAGGTTGTGCACGTATCATGGAGCATCTTCACGTGAACAACCCACCAGATAAACTTTGTTTGCATAAGGCTTTCCGAATAATGACACCAAGTTCAGATGCATAAGCTTTGTGAGCACAAACTTGGCAAAGTTGATCTGCGTGCAAGAGGAATTCAACCAAAAAGACTTATGTTTGGCACGCTTCTTGGTTGAAAGCGTGCCGTCCCATGGTGCTACAGTTCTACCCCTGCTTCTTCTTGCCCTTGGTGTTCTTCTGGCCTTTTCCTTTGCCTTTGCCTTTTCCTTTGCTCTTAGATCTTGCTTGATCCTGATGCTTTGCAGGCGTTCTATGTCCTCTTGACTTGCTTCGGCCACGACTTGCTTTCCTGTCCTTGGCACTGTGGGGGACAGAACTGAAAGAGACGTGCGATCCTTGCGAATGCTTTGATGTTGAAGATCTCCGCGAAGCATGCGAGGCATGAGAAGATGCCTTTGATGCTCTGCTTGATGCCTTAGATCTCGCTGATTTTGATCTGGAGGCGCTTCGCTAACAAAGTGCCCTCTTCAAACGTCTTCCCCTGTTGATCGTCAAGCTTTGCCATAGCAACCAAGGTCTTGACATCTGCTGCCTCATATAAAGTCTTCGCTTCCTCTAAGGCTTCCTGGCGCTTTCTCTCCTTGGCCTTGGCCTCATCAAACTTCCTTTGAGCTTCAGTCAGACCTAGCCGTCGGATGAGCATGAGGATATTTTGCATGCGCTTTGGGAAATATGCTTTCTTTTCATCCGAATACACCTTGCCTTCAGGGGACTGCCAGAAAGTTGTAAGCTCATCTTGTAGCTCCTTCGCCATGCTTTCAGCACTTATGAGCTTGCAATAGAAAGCAATCATGTTGGGCCCATGTTCTGACACGAACACCTGGCACTGCCTGGCATGATGAAACCGCAGTTGACGCCAAGCTTTGTCGAGGTCATAAGCTTCCATGAGCGTGTCAGCGTCATACGATTGCAAAGCCAAGTCCACAGATGTAGACTTAGCTCCAAGCATTCTGTATTCTTGGGGCCATTGCCACTTTCTGTCAGCTTCTTCCTTGAAGACTTTGTCCGTCTGCAACTCGAACTTGTTCTTGTTGTTCGTATGTGTAATCCAGAGGTCCAGCCGCTTCGAAAACTTTGCCCACAGATCCTTCATGTTTGAAAGCCCAGGTCCAGTGGTCCAGTTCATGTATGAGCTTGTCAGGCCTGTCAAAGGACAAGCTTCTGTCTCAATACGGCGTCTCTGGGACTTCTTGCCAAATTCTGAAAGGACTGTACACTGTGGGTCAGCGCAGAAGTCAGTGGGGTAACGAGCTGCTGCATCAATAATTCCAAAGCAGCGTGGCTTCCTGGAAATGGGTCAATATGCTGTTGACCTTGCGCCACCTCATGACTCTGATGATTGAAAGGTTGGAAACCTAGATTGGCCACGGCTTTCGGTAGAAGGCTAGCTACGAAAACACGGCCGACACGCTTTCTAGGAGTGTAACCCGCACACAAAGCTAGATCACAAGCGTGTCAAGGCCGGGGCAACACAGCCTTGGCTGCTAGCTCGTCCCCTTGTCGGGACTCGACGGCCTGAGCGCCTACAAAACGGAGCCCATAAGGGCTGCGGTGTTGGAGATTGGCCATGTGACTTCGCCACAGTACTTGATTTGATTTTTTAGGCATGCCTAAAAAATCGAATCAGGTGCTGCTGTGCTGCACTTTGCGATCTTGGTTTTGGCCCGCCAAATCTTGCTCGCCGCGGTGCTCCAGACGAGTGCAGAGGTGCGCCGGGCCGTGACCACAGCCGAGTGGGCCGCGGATCCGCGGCCGTGACGTCGGGGACGTTGTGAGGAGGATCCGGCATCCAAATTCCGCAAGGAGTCGCCCCAGGCCGCCACTTTGGAGAGATGTTCGCGCCGTTGAGAACGGCGCGCTTCTCATTCCTTGTCAGGTTAGAGAATCGGGATGCCCAGGCCAGAATTGGAGATCAAGTTTTCAGAAGTTCAGAAGGCGCCGTTTGCACTTCTTCCATGGACGGCTGACACCGAAGGAATTCAAGTTTTGGGAAGCACCGCAACGTCAAAAACCGTGGCTGCGTTAATTTTTTCAGTCTTCAACTGCTTCATCTTGGGCAAGCCAAGACTTCTCGGCAAGCCTCTGCTTGGGACTCTGTCACCTTTACTGTCTGTGGGCGGTGCAAGATGGTGCAAGGCGTGAAACTTCACTGTCGTGTCATTCTTTCTGGCCCAGTTTTTTTCTCTTTATCCCGTGGCCCTCCTCCGTTGCCTTTCCGTCCAAGCCCGCTCCTTTTGACTCGTGGCCAGACGAGTCGACAGGACCGCCATCTGTCAGAGCATTCTATCCAAGGCTCCGACAAGTGACCCGTCGTACGAACTCCAGGGTCCAGTCCTCGTGCCAGCCTTCTTGATTTAATTTCTCTTTCTCTTTGCAACACCTGATATTTTTTAACTCCCAAGATTCTGAAACCTTAGTTTTTTGAACAATCGAAGCTTTTTTCTTTGCTCAAGTCCTTTCACCCTTTTATCGGCATTGCTCGGGTGTCCATTGGTGTGGGACTTTGACCACTGCTCCGCTTGAATCAATGTTGTGCTGGAGCATGGCTTCATGGCTTTCATGTTCAATCGCGGCTGCAGCGGGGCAATGATCTTCTGAATCAACAGCGCACTCATCAGTTGATGCAGCATTGATGCACAATACCATCACTCTCAAGCGAGACAATTCTCGCGGTACTGCGCAGGCTGCCGGCTGGTTTCGCGGCGAGCTGACCCTTGAATGTGTGGTCATGTTGCGGTCCGTCCATGCAGGATACATTGCAGACACATGCACGCTTTATTCTTTTGCTTAATTGAGTTGCCGACTCGCAAGTGTTCAAATGTGTCGGTTTTGCCACATCCATGTGAGCTGCCAGCTCCAAGCCTTTCAGCGACCTCGCCATGCTTGTTGCTTCGTCCTGCAATCGATTCCGGGCCGACACCATGCTGAAGCAATAAGTGCCCCGTTGTCGTGTAATACTCAGTACACGCAATAGAACAATAATCAACATCCAGATGATTTCAATCAGTCGTCCAAACAGAGAGGCAACCCTGGGAAGGACTGCTACCTGTAGTGCTGCATGGGTCCAGCTTCGGCAGCAACCCCGGCCCTGGACACGTCGACGCGGAAGCGCAGTTGGCAGTTGGCGAGAGGTTTCAAAGGCTTTGAAAAATGATCCAGATCTGCCTGGAGCTGGAGCCAAGTCAGACTTCTGAGACAGCGGCCGCATGCTTTCCGACGGCTTGGGTTCCTGGCAGTGGTGATGAATGCTTCAGCCCAGTGTTCGTGGTCGATGTGCGCAAATTGGGACAACTCATGCTGAGACCTTCTTGAGGCAGAAGATGCCGAAGATTGAGAGCGGCCACACTGAGTTAAGCACACGGATTTTCGAGTACTTTGCCCCGAAGTAAATGGATGACGCTCCCACTGACACATTGCACATACGGCTAATTAGTCGTTTAGGATTGGTGTGTATAGTGACTGTAGTGATGCTGTATGTCAGCAGTTGCGCACGTGCACCGTGACCATGAGAGCTGTTCGAGCATGTTCGAGTTCGAGCAGTCTGTCACAGGATGTTCATGCTGGAGCTTGAGAGCAGTGTGGCGGAAGCAAACCTCTGCTAACGATATTCCGACGGTACTGTGCAGTGCAAGCCATGACTCACAATATCAAAACCCATAAGTTTGTAGGTCCTAGGCATTGCATTGTATTATTGCTGCGGCCTGTTGGTGCTCTGCTTCGCGTTGTATCACCAATGTCTTGTTCGAGCATTACCAGGTCGTTGCAAGAAGGGTGGCTCTGAGCAGTAAACCGCTGGCAGATTCATGCGGAAACTACGTGGAGTTGACTGGACTGCCGCCTTGTCCAGGTGTTCGGAGATTGGGTGTTCTGCACCAGCGATTGCGGAGTGCCGGGGCACGGTTTGCGCTCTGAGAGGAGTGCCACCCGCCACCCTCGAACCCCGCCAGCAAGAGGTACCTGCGGCTGCAGCTGCGTGCCGCGCGGTGCCTCGGTGTGCCTTGACTGAGATTCACGCGGCATGGATTGAAGCGCTGCAGTGCGCTTTCCGAGGACATGGTTGCGACTGCTGCCGCACACGCCGAGCTTGCACGTGCTCTGCAGAAGGAGCAGCCCAAGAACGCAGCTTTTCGGCAAAAGCTACCGCGCGACACTCTCTTGGGCCCCGCGCTGTCCCTGTTTAGGTGGAGGTCTTGGCTCACTGGCTTGGGCACCTCCGCGCGGGCGGAGAGGAAGAGACGGCTCTGGAGCAGGAGGGCAGCGAGGGCGCTCTGCGGAGAGGGCGAGGGCAGCGAGGGCGTCTGCTGGCGTCTGCGTATGTCTGCGTGGTTCGCGGTCTGCGGTCGGGGGCGGACCTGCCGGAGGCCGCTCCGCTCCGCTCCGCTCTCTGCAGGTTCACGTGCTCAGCCGCTTCTGGCTGGGAAGCTTCGTCGGTTGGGGCCTTTTATGCGCTGTGAGCCCGAGAAACTGGTGGGTCGAGTCGCGACTCGCGACTGTCCCAACGTTTCGAGGCCTTGCGGAGGCCTCTGAGTGGATGGACTCTTGTGGCCTCGGGCCCCATCGCCTCTGAGCGCTCTCAGAGACTGCAAAAAGTTGCTCCCTCTCAAGCTCTGGGCTCTGCTCTGGTTTCTGGGGCTTTTTGCCGGTTTGGCTCCACAGGCAAAGCAGGCGTATCGGCGGCGCGAGTCGCCGGAGCGTGCCCAGGCTGGCGGCGGAGTGGTCAACGGTCGTTCAGACGCCGGCACACAGGATTCGAAGGGGCGCGCAAACCACACTGGTCAGATCTACTGCAGGACCTGTGTGAGAGTGGTCTGAGAAATTCAATCCACGTGCAAGTCAGAGACAAAGATGTTGGAGGAACTGTGGCAACGCGGTGGAGGTCGAGTCCCGCGTACCCTGCATCCGCTGTGCTGTCGTTCTGTCGTTGCTTTCGGCACTTCTGTTCAGGTTCCCACGAACATGACGGTTCCTGCGCCATCTCTGTGCCGAAGCAAGATGCAGATCATGACAAGCACGCAGAGTAGCAGTGCGTTGCCAAAAAGGCCTGCTACAAGATCACCCTCTCCACAAGACCGCGGCTGGCCCAGAAAGAGGGAAAACAAGAGATCCGAGCCTCAGACTCTCAGGCAACAGTGCGTATTATCGCACACAAAGCACAGAGTCGCTGAGCTCCCAGAAGCGGTCACAAAGCCGGAAGCCCAAAAGGCTGCACCGGCTCGAGAAGAGCACAGTGAAGCTTCGAAAGCTCTTAAGGTCCACAGTCACGGTCCCTGTCGCCATCAGCGCAGCAGGAAGAAGTTAGGGTTGTTGTTCTTCTTCTTCTTGTCGTTGTCGTGTTGGTGTTCGGCTAGTGCGATGTTGTCCAGTGGAGGCAGTAGACCTTCGAATCGAAAGTGTCCGGCCGGCAAATAACGGCACGGCCCTCGGAGAAGGTGGGCGAGGTGACAGCGAGCAAGTCGTGCCGTGGCAGGGCAAATCGCTCTCTCCGTGGTTACCTGGGGTGAGCCTCGGGCTCCTTCGTGGAAGTCGGCTGCTTACAGGGAGGTCCTGTTGACTCTTCGCCTAGAGAAGTCCTTGCAGGTCTTTTCCAGGAGCTGCACAGACGCCCGCATCCGATGTTGCGATGCGCTTGGTATCCTCTTTTTCGACCGCTCCTCCCACTGAGGTATCCTCATGGAGGCGCTCGCAGCAGGCCCGTATCTGTTTTCACTGTTCCCTGTCTCTCTTGGTCTCTCTCGGTCTGTCTCTGTCTCTGTCTCTGTCTCTGTCTCTGTCTCTGTCTCTGTCTCCCTCCCTCTCCCTCCCTCTCTCTCTCTCTATATTTATGAATGCACTGATGCCGAATGGCATTGGCTCCAGACTGGACAGATCGGCATGACGTCACAAAGGAATGTCCATGAGTGTGACTGTGGGGAAACCTACGTCTTCCAGAACCTGCTTTAAAGCAGGTTGCAACCCCATAACCTAGGTTTTAGGCTTATGTTGCTAAGTACCTGGTAGTGTATCATAAAACCTGGGTTTTAGCTAAAAGAGTGTTTTCGAGGCTTCTGATAGGAACAGCTTGGGGCAAGTGGGCCCATTGAGTGAATGATCAGCGTTTCTGATGCAGCAGATGCATGTGGATGGATGATTGCAGGCTCGAGGGAGCCTTTTTTCATGCGTAGTTTATGCATTTCATCGAGCACCTGGAGCTGTGCGCCTGGTCGGGGGCCTGGTAACTGCTCGTGAATCATCGATCAGCAGTCGTCATGTATCGAGCTGCATGCAGCAGTGCATGCACGCAGCAGCTGATAATTGGTGCCTTGAATCGTGCCACTCGATCTTCAAACGTTCCTATATGATCATATGCACATAGCATTTCGGCTTAAGTTGTGATTTGCAGCATCGCCTTGGCTGGTGTGTTCAACCGGCCGTGAAGATGACGACCGAAAAGTTTGATTGCAGTGGTTTAGCAGAGGAGTGGGATGCTTCAGAAGCACTTCGTGCAACTTTGCGTGCTGGTGGTGCTTTCTTGGTTGGATCACTGGGTGACTTCAGTGTAAATCGGTGCGTCCAGAACACGGAAGCTTTGATGCCACTGCTAGCACGCTCTCATGCGTGCGACCACAAGAGGCCAGAGGTGGAGATGCTGCGGGAGCAGATCTCGACTCTTTTGGGACTTTGCCAGCGCACAAGCTCCGACTCTGAGGTGGATGACTGGGCCTGGGAGCTTCGTAAGATGCTGACGTTCATGAAACGGAAGGTTCAGCGGCAAGAGGTCAGCTCTGCATTCCAGCTGCATTTATAGGAGAGTTGGGAGGCAGCACACCAGTCCACATGTGCAAGATCTGATCAAGCTACCTTTGGTGTTCTTGTAGGTCACAAGTAAGTATGTATTCAATTCTAGTTATATAGTTCTAGCTTGTGTTATTAACATGTACACATGCCATATATTATCATGACAGCAACAGCAATGTCGACAACAACGGCCCATCACCACCACCAGCACCACCAGCAATGCACACGCACACACACAGACACAACATGCATGCAGAATTAAGTGACAACAACAGCAACAAGCAACATGCACCGCATGCAACACCAACACCAAGTAACAGCAGCAACAACAAGAAGAACAGCAGCAACACTGACGATTGCTACAAGTGCCACAACCGTTCACAGTCGCGACCACGATCACCAACCAACAATGGCAGAACCACAGTGGATGCAGCAGCACCAACAGCAACAGCCACAGCCACAGCAACAACAATCACAAACGGCAGCAGCACTAACAGACAACAGCAACGGCAACAACAGCAACAGCAATGGCCACTACCTTCTCAGGTCTATGACTTCCAAGAGATGTGCCTGCTCCTCAACCCGGAGCTTCAGGACAGCGTGGCCCTTGCATCATTTTCCCGTGACGACGATCTGACTACTTGCATCGCTTTGGATGCAAAATTTGCATTGTCCCGCACTAATTAAACTATGCCTATATATCAAGTTGAGAAGCCTCGAACCACATATAGAAACGTTTGGGTAGCTAGATCACGCTGTTGTACAACTTAAGAAGCTACTAGCTGAAGTCCCATACTCCGAACACCAGGAAGTGCTTCTAAGCAACCTTGATCGAAGGAACCCCAACAGCCCAAATCTCGGAGTGGATTTAGATCCGCATGCATATGTTAGATAGGCCGGCACTTGTAGCCATGTTTTGCCCGGTGCAGGAGCTCGTCGACAGCGTTCGCAGGAAGTACTACGAGAATGAACCTGCACCCGAGGAGGAGGCATGGGAGCATGCAGGGCTTGCGCATGTTGGGTTTCGTTCCGTATAACTGCCACTGCTATGTCTGCCCTTGTCTGGCATGGTGAGCACTCGGAAACTGTTCATTGCTGAATTTGCACTTCATCATATGGGCAACAACGCAAATGTACTTTCTGCATGCACAGGAAGTCCCTGAAGAAGATGTTCCTGATGTGCCTGTGCTACCTCGACCTTTCATGCCTGTTGTGCTGCCGGCTGTGGTGCCGGGACCTGCAGTGCCTAGGGAAGCTGTGGTGCCGGAAACTGTGGTGCCTAGGGAAGCTGTGGTGCCTAGGGAAGCTGTGGTGCCTCGTGAAGCTGTGGTGCCTGAAGCTGTGGTGCCTCGTGAAGCTGTGGTGCCTCGTGAAGCTGTGGTGCCCAGTGAAGCTGTGGTGCCCAGTGAAGCTGTGGTGCCTCGTGAAGCTGTGGTGCCTCGTGGAGCTGTGGTGCCGAGCAGTGTTCCATCACCCGCTTCGAGTTGCTGTACGCCCTCGCCGATCCACGCAAAGCGCAGTCACTAGCCGTATATTCGTAGGTAGTGCTCCTAGCATGTTTTATTGAGTTGTGTTGTCCCAGCTATTTGGTCGCAATATAAGGTTATTAAGGCATTAAAATTAGCTATAGGGGACAATGGAATCTATGTATAGCCTTAATATGCATTCTGCTGCCGAGGTGAGATATCTCTTCCAACTCCAGAAGGCAAGCCCGAGAGCAGCCGGGCTTTGCAGTTGAAGAAGCTGCTTGCTGATGCGACTGCCAAGCTAGACAAGTTACTGTGCTGCAACTCATGAAAGTGCGCTTGGGTTTACTGTTGCTGCTGCACTTGTAGTATGTTACCTTAATTTGCGCAAGCTAAGAAGTGTCAATCTACGATGTAGCCACTCCAGGTGTGCAAATCAATCAAGCATGCCAGTGATCAATCACTGATGAGGCTACGAGCATCGAAGGCCTCTCCAAGCCCATCCGTGGAGCCCAAGCAGCTCTTCCCTGATGGCGTGGCCGGTGGGGACACCCGGTGGGGTTTGTCGTGCAATGGTGGTAACAAGAATATAAATTAAAGGTTGTGATGTGTGCTGTGTACTAGTCAACTTGTCCATGATTTGCATATAATATGGAAAAGCACTTCATAACATACATATGCAAACTTAAAATATATACACATACATGGGCACATATATATACATATACATATATATATATATATATATATATATATATATGTATATATGATGTATGTACTGTATATGTATATATATATATGTAGTATGCATATATATATATATATATATATACATATACATATAAACCTGATGCCCTACAGTAGTCTTATCCAAATTTAACCTATAAATGCACTGAAAAAATTCTTGATTCTGTAGTTCTTTGTTCCTCTCACTCAGCAACCCTTCATCTCTCACTCGCTCTTGCATCCCCCTAGCTCTCTCCCAAGCATGTGTGCGCATGTGCAAGTGAGACATCAAGTTAAGTACAATTATAGTTGTAGGAGCAAGCAGTATCACCTTGTTTCGGGGGCCATCGCGAAACCTGTTACTGGAATCTCTGAGGTTGCAAAGGACCGGTGTCGCGAGTCGACACGCAGGACACCCAGGTTACGGATTTGTTTCAGTGTTCGACCCCGGCAGAGCCCATTCCCGGTGGATCTACTGACAGCTTGATGGGTGCACTTGATGCAGAAGACCTCCGACTGAAGTATCAGCATCCACGTGGGGCCCCTGCTGAGTTTCCCAAAGCCCCAGCAGCCAATGCGCCAACGGCCCCAATCGACCCAGCCGACGTCAAAAGTAGCCCAATCCCTGAGCTAGCTTTGGAAGCAGCACCCGGCGACTCTCATCCTCCCGAAGCACCAGTGCCTCCTGCTGACTCGACCGGCAAGGATTCGAAGGCCGGCCTGAAGTGCAGGGGTTACGCACGCATCGCAGTCATCAATTGAGTGCTGTATTAAGTTTTTGTTGTTGCTGTCGATGCTGTCCCTGTTGTTGTGGCAATTAAGTGTTTAGTTTTCTGTGGTTGTTGATTGTTGCTACATAGTTGCTAGGGGCTTGTGGCTGTGGCTGGTGCTGCTGCTGTTGATGTTGTTGTTGTTGTTGTTGATATTTTGATGTTTCGATTGTTGCTTTTGTTCAGGTCAGGTGCTGGCGGTCTTAGGTGTTGCGGCTCTAGAACATGCATGTACATGCATATAGATATATATATATATATATACACATATATATATACCTTATACATATATATATATATGTATTTGCCGTGTGGGAACATTCTTACCTTTGGCTACGTATGTGTGTTTACATTGCATGTATAATGTGTTGATTTTTGCAAAATGGCCCGAGTAACTGGAATATCTCTGCATCCATGTGTGTGTGTACAGATGCCTGCATGTATATGTATATGAATATACACATGAATAATACAACTATATATATATATATATATATATACATCTATCTATATATATATATACATATAATTATACATATACATGACACGTACTTGTATATATATATATATACATGCATGCACACAAACACACAGATAATCTAAAATCATACATATATATATATGCTTGTACACATGTTTGCTTGTTTACCTGCTTGCTTACCACCTATATATCTGTGTATATATATATATATATATATCATACTACATAATATGTATATATATATATATGTAAGTCTGCATGTGTGTATATATATATATATATGTATATACATACTGGTGCTCACACGTACACATTCCATGCCTCGTGCACGCAGGTGCTGCTGCGCAGACAGCAACTCGGCATGCGCTGCACTAAGAAGGATGACAACAAGGCCATGAAGGCTGGTGGCCGCAAGCTGAAGCGCTCGCGGTCAGGATTGGACAAGCTTAAGAAGGCCACAAAGAAGGCCATGTCTGCGGAAGCAGACTGGACTTATGAGGGCGAGGAGTATGAGCACTGGGAAGAGGATTGGGAGGATTGGGAAGGGGATTGGACGGAAGGCTCTTGGGGCCAGGGTCAGGCTGCATGGGATCAGGCCCCGGAGGAGGTTCCCAAGCGTGGGCGCAAGGCCAAGGGAGCTGTGCCATCCGGCGAGGATGGTGGGCAGGGCAAAAAGGGCCCTCGACGGCACAGCACCAAAGGCCCCGAAACGGATCCCGAGGACAACCAGGGTGAGAAGCCCAAAGGGAAGCCAAAAGGCAAAGCAAAGGCGAAGGCAGCCCCCAAGGCAACCCCGAAGGGAAAAGCAAAGGCGAAAGCAAAGGCTAAGAGGGCCCCCAAGGCCGCCCCCAAGGCCAAAGGCAAGGCAGCCAAGAAGCAAGCCCAGGAGGATGAGGAGGCAGTGGGGAAAGTTCTTGAGTGGGCTGCGCAGATTGATTTGATGGCAGATGATTACAAGGATACCTTGAAGCAGCTCCTCCCAAGCTATTCCACCCCCTTGCGCCTGAACGTGTATTGGACAAAGAGCTCTTGCGGGCTTTCCCTCCGGTATGTGGATGAAGATGACAAGCGCCAGAGCCGTGATGTGGGCCATTTCTACTACGAGAAGGGTGTGCAAGGCATGGTCATCGCGGTGGCCGCTGCTGCTTTCATGGCTTTTTTGCTGCACCGAGTATGGACATTATGTGTATAGTGTTTTGCAAATATTAATAAAAAAGATTCGTATCTTTATACAAATATTATTTACCTATATATATATATGTATATATAGAGAGAGAGAGCTGATACACATGTCTAAATGCGTATAATACATATATATATATATATATATATATATATACATGTATATATGTATATGTAAGGGTGTTATACATATATATAATATATATATATATATATATACAGACATATATGCATGCATACAACTGCGAGCATATGTTTACAATTATAATATGTGTGGCATACTTTACATAGCCTGCACAGCTTAATTTGCAAACTAGTCTAAGCAATATATATGTATATGTACCCACCAGCAGATGTTATGTATGCTCAAGTCCCGTTCCATTGTGTGTGTGATCTCCAGTTACCTGCCGAGGGCTGGGAGCTGGAGGAGAAGGAGATCGTGCATCCTGACACGGAGGAGCACGATGTGGATGCGATCAAGCAGAGGTGGAAGGACATCGGTGCCCAGGCGATGGAGCGCTTTGCAGCGACAGATGTCTGAGTTTCAGATAGGTTCTAGGAATTTTGAAAGGATGAACCTGCATATCGATGTATGTGCTACATTCAGCTACAATCTTTCTCGAGTCTCTTGCATGCACGGTAGCAGTGCTGGGAGCCGACGGGGTGGGCAATGGAAGAGCACTGCCTAGCCCGTGATTTGTGTATAGGGATTCGATAGGCGAAGAGAGTGCTGTGCAGCACTTGATGGAGCAGGCTAGGTTTTGGAACACGTAGCCAGGATCCTGGAGCAAGCTGGTCGCCTGTAAACGCATATACCTGCACTCACAGTCGTACTTCTTGCTTATATATGTTTCATTAACATGTGTATGTATGCAGCACTCATAAACTGATGTATGTTATACTTTTAGTGTTGAAACGCTCCATGCTTGGCTGGTGCCCGGTCGCATGCAGAAGCACTGCGATTTGGATGGAACAGATGTCATCATGAGCAAGTCTGGAGAACCAGATGCGAAAAGATATCGGGAAGAATTTCAGCAAATGTCATTATATTAATTGCCATGACACATATACGCATACACCCTTAGATTACCAACACCGTCCGAGGTCAATGTGATGGCTCGCAAGCGCAGTGGCCGAAAGCAGTCGTACACCAGGCGACACAAGAGGCGCAAATTGCAAGCCGAGCGCAATCCGGACATGTTTACAGGCTTTTGACAGCAATTTCCATGGTTGCATGAGTGCACCTGGCTGCTATGAGGGTGCTTGTGCATGCATTGCCGTGTGGCTTGTGGCCGCAACACTCATTGCTGATCGAAGCCACATTTCAGTGTCGATGCCGCATGCCAAGCCGAAGTCTGCACTTCTATTTTCCTGTATGCATGCATGTACTTCATGAACATCAATATTAATTCACAGCGCAATATCCATACACTAGCCAGTGCATGTACAGTTGTAGTACATGAATATATATATATACATATACATATACATATTATATTATGTACATGTATATATATATATACATATGTTGGTTTATATTGTATAGAACATATATGCCTGTTTACATCAGTTAGTGGTTATACACATAGAGGTTTCTACATGCATGGGAGCTGGTGCTTGCTCTCGGTTCTGTAGGTCAGGGTGTGTGCTCTGCCTAGAAAACCGATCATGATTCCGATGGATGAGCTTGTGTGCAAGCTTCTGAAGCTTGGTGCGCCGAGGGTCGCTTGGTTGCTTGTGTAGGAGTTGCCTCACCCCCCAATTTAAAATGATATGAGGCGTGTTTGCACATGTGCCAGTAACTACAACTGGGATATCTGGTATCCTAGCTCTGAGGACCGTAATTAACCAATGCACTGCATAGCTGTGTTTGGGTTACAAGGGGGTGGGTTCCATAGAAAGGGTTGAGGTCTCTTGGGGTTGGGAAGAATCCTATACCCGCCAAGGCTGGTGTAATGAGTGAAGTCCATGTAAAAATTCTTAGAACCCGAACACCTGAATCATAGTGTAGAGCGGATGTAACCATATACGCTTGTCCCAGTATTTATAGTCCAAATTATGAAACACTTGTGACATCATCCCTCTCAGCCCTTCTGTAGTCCGATGATCAGGCCCCCAGCCAACGTTTCATAAATGTTGATAGACCAGCCACGAACACAGATCCTCAGAAAACCCTATGTGCCTTCGACTTCTGAGTTACGTTTCTAGATCTTCGCAATCATGTACTTGTCTGGATACTGAATGGTAGTCATCTCTGTAGATGCGCCAAATACCAAGCATCATTTTACAGCTCAATATTCCATTTATAGCCATTTACGGTAATCTCCCGAACCCAAACTTGACACATGTGGGATTAAATATTTTGGCCCGAAAATCTCTCCCTGCTGAACAAGGACTTCATCCTGATCGTTCTCATGGTCACATGGGCCGAGGGCCTCTACGATGTGGACTTGGAGGCAAGCAGCAGCCTTTCCGGAACAAACACAGCATTCCACTGAGAACTAAGCTCCCATGCAAACATAACCCGGCCAATTTTCCTATATACGCAGGCCTACGACTGGGTGGAATTCTTCGCTGGCCGTGCTAATTGCACGAGCGCAGCTCGTGTTCGTGGTGCCTCTGGCCTGAAGCTGGATATCGAGTACGGGAACCGTGGTAAGAAGAAGAGCAACGGTAAGAAGTGCAAATCTGATTACATGGACATAAACTCGTGCTCTGGATTCTGGCTGCTGGGCTTCTGTTCCAGAGCATCTTTCTTGTTTAGAGTACTGTGGTATGATACCCTGGCTGGGTGACTCCATCGAAGATATCAAAATGCATGAACCAAGAGAAGTCTATTATGTAAGAATAACATGAGTACACAAATCGAATCGTTCTCGTTATCTCTCTCTCTCTCTCCCTCTCTGTCGGGTCTCTCAGATCTTCTATATCCCTCGCTGTCAACTCTGTATAGGCTCCGTAGGTCGCCGATCCCCCAAGAAGCACAGATCCTAATATCCAAAGAGAAAGAGTTGCCACGCAACATGTGTGCTCCTGGGTATACATGGGTAAGGTTTTCGAGCCGGTTTCTGATGCTTCGATTCTAGCTATGTTTCTGGTCTGACGGGTATTACGGGTTGATGCTTCGGTGTTTGAGCAGAATTGGTTGCTGGGCTTTCGAGGGTTAGGATTGTATAGGTTGCAGGCACTCGGTCTAGGTTAGGCCGGTTGCAACAAATTGTCGTGGCAGTGGGGCTTCTTCTGGGCTGCATATCTGATCTTCGCAGGAACTCACAGTTTTTGCTTTTGGGGTTTGGTGTTTGAGAGGCTGTTCATAATAAAGGTTAAGCTTATAAACCGGTGGCTTAGGATAAGCAACGCTACATAAGGGTTTATATGGTTTCTGGTGTGTTCAAGACATTCAGAACTAAGTTTGGCCATCATTTGCTTGCTGAACTGTCGCAAGAATGACTTCGTGGCTTGGTTCGGATTGAAGTGCTCAAGTTGGTGTGGGATGAACCGTGCTACTTCTGGGAGAAGTCCTTCTTCCAGTACTGGCTACAGCCATGCACCCACAGTTCAAGATGGAAACCGTATGCTCGAGAGGCCATGAAATAAAGCCATGTAGTGTGTATTTTGGTGTATCCTGCTAGATGTATATATGCATAGTCATCATGATACTTACATTATCAATCTAGCGACCTGTGTCAGCCCTTAAATTATATACCCAAACGAGCCCCAACCTCTTTATGCAATATATATATATATACATACAGAAAGAAAATGTACTATCTAAATAATTGTCATAACTATACTTACAATGCATACATCCTACATATACATAGACCTATACATATCACATATCTATATATACATATAGATATATGTATATGTATACCTGTACTCAATTAATATATTGGTATTCCTTGAGTTTGTAAAGTCTGCAATTAATATGATAGCTATATACATAATGACCCCTATGAACTTTGCCAATCCTAACCTAGCTCTGGCCCTGACAGGGTCTATTTGCTATGCCTTCTGGTGGTAGCTCTGGGAGGGTGTTACATTCTGGAGCAACCAGCTGGATCCGCAGTCGAATATTACCCCTCTTGGCGACGACTGTGCACGAGCCTCATCAGCATCGACGGAACGGCAGCGGCAGCTCGACCCAAACCACCTGCATGTCGAATATGCTTTAAGTGCGGGTAAGAGGAGCAACTACCTTAATGCACCTGTCGTGTCGGTTGTCGGGTTCTTGAAGCTTCATATTTTTGTAGATCCCTGATGAGGTAAACCGGGTCGGCTGGTATATGGGTGCATTCTTTGCAAGGACATTGAAGAGACAGTATGCCTACAGCAATTCGCCAAAGATCCGGCTCATCAACAGGAGCCCACTGCAGGTATCTGCAAAAATGAGAACCCGGACACTGAGAACCTCGAACCGCATGGATGGTTTTGTTGGTGTAGTACTACATAGCTTACATTGTAACATATGTATATATGTATGTATACAACACATAATACATCTATATGTATATATATAACACCATATATACATCTACTCCCATATAAGACATATATATATATATATAACCTGATGGTTCGTATCTTTCTGGGTATATATATATATATATGTATCTACAGTCTGTGTTACTATATATAGTCAGATCGGAAGATTAGCCCATAAGTTGATCTACATCTTAAATGTCGTATATCTATATATACACATGCAGGTGTATGCATCTACATATATGTATATATACATACAGGGAACATATATATATATATATATATGATCAATATATACGTATATCTAAACAAGTATACTAAGTATATGCTTTTTACACGCACATATATATGTATATATATATATATATGTCTTTGTATATCTATATATATATATATATGGTATGCATATATGTGTACATATGATACGGACCTGCATACTTAAAGAGCCTGCCCAGATCCTTTGAAGCCCCGCTCTTCAAACCCCCGACCCAGGATCTATCCAGTTCATTTTGCCCTGGCCATCGCAAATATCTTCACTGAGCTGAAGAGCACAGCCTTGGGGTGCCCTCGTGTACACGAGGCTTGCCGTGGCCTGGCAGCTTTTCAAGCAGCTGCTGCAACAGATGCAGATGCTGCAGAGTCTGTAACCAACGCAGACCTCCAAAGGTATATGCATACATTCGTGGTTGCAAGACTCTTAGGATTCCGCAGGACTGGAAACCTTTTGTGCCCCAGGTTTGGCCGGGCCCTGGGATCTGAAGGGAAACCAGGGCTCCTGAAGCCTTTCTAGAAGGGGCCGATAGGGAACCCAGGGCTCCTGAAGGCTTTTTAGAAGGAAAGCAAGGCTCCTGAAGGCTTTCTAGAAGGGGTTGATAGTTGACTAGCATAATTTTAACATACTTCAATCAGCGTTTATATGATTTTGGCAGCTTTTGTTGCAACTTTACTACAAAAGGCGCCCAAAAGGCGTACACAACCCGTATTCTCCCGGCCAAAACCCGTAATAACCCGGCCACAACCCAACCGAAACCCGTTATCCATGCTACTTAGCAGCAAACCCCGGTTTCCCCCAAAGCGTGCGCAACCCGTCGAAGTCCCATAAAAACCCATCGACAACCCATAAAAAGGCGTACGGCAGAACCTGGGTTTTAGCAGTCCCAATTCGATGCTAATTTAGCAGCGTTTTGACGCTCTAACGGTGCACGGATCCGCTGGAAGAGCCCCTCAGCTATGGTGAAAATAGCCACGAAGGCCTCAACTCTTGGTCCATGCCCATACATTTGAGTGACCTGCATGGCACGCAGTCTGTTGTGTTGTTGATTAACTTGTATCTTGTGCTCAAACCCAGGAGTTTTGTGATCTTGGGCTTTTTCTTGTCGTCTGGACATCAAATGTCTGGACGCTGGAGTTGTGAGACTCTACAGGTCGGTTTCCAGGCTGTAGTTAAGGAGGCCCAGGATACCACCATGGATGTCGAGGAGGCCAAGCTGCTAGCCCAAATCAAGGACACTAGGGTTCATCATGGTAATCCTATACGACATGCATGCACGCATCGATGTGCTATCGCTAAAACTTCCCTTTCTGCACAGTGGCTAGCACACTGAGGATTCGGGTGTACTTTAATCACGATCTCATTGGCACGTTCTGGGGCTTTGTCCAGGACCTGCAGCTGGAGCTAGAGACCCACGAGAAGAAGGATGGTATGGAGGTGGCTCTCCAAAATTGGGACGGCTATGATACATGTGTATGCGTGAGTGACATCTTATGAGGATATGTGCACATAAAATTTAATTGTGTTTCTGTATATTTGTGTATATCTCCGTGTATTTGCTATCTAGATCTCTAGATCGCTATGTATCTACATATCTACCTATGTGTCTGTGAGTAGACATACATATTTACTGTGCACATACCCCAAAAGGAAGCCTCAAAAGAAAACCCTGTGTAAACCACAAAACATGCATAAGTAACACATATGCACATAAACTGGTGACCAAACAATCCAAAACTAATCCCTGTATATACTTATATATATGACTAGCTATAGCTCGAAACCCTATACCGTATAATGCTTACCTACCTACTTGGCCACCCACCCACAGACCTGCCTGCCTACTTACCTGCCTACGCATGTGAAAACTTCATATCCGCATGCATTATAAATGTATGCAGACATATACGTGTAAGGTGTTCACTATGTAACTTAATGCATACATACATATAGGTATTATATCTAATACATACGAATCTATACATACATAAACATACTTATACATGTGAGTCTGTCTAGGTGTGTTACATGAATGCATCCCTTGTTTCCTTGCTTTCCACTATCGCCCCATGTATCCTGTAGAACACCTTCAATGCAAGGCCGGCCACTACGTAGTTCTTATGGAAACTACCAGTGTATTTATTAATATAATACACACAGACATATATATATATATAGATACATACATATATATATGTATATATATATATATACACACACACTGTTTCATATATATTAGCACAGAACACACTCCCCACCTCTCGAGGATGTGGACTCCATTTCCACCCGCTCGACGGTGCCGGGCTTCTCCACGGACAGCCTGCTGGGATCGAGCGAGAGGCTCGAGGCCGGTCTGGAAGTTTAACCTTTAACGGTTTCTTATTTAAACCCCAGCAAAGCTAAGATAGGCCCCGGCATGTTCTTCGTTTTCTCCATATGTGTTAGGCATGCTCATATACATGTACATATAACACATACATGCACACATACACTTGTATTCCCAAAGCCCGCTTTCCCAAAGCCGTATACATAGACTCGTCGATCATAGACATATATATATGTATACATGATAGATAGTTACGGATGAAGTAGCTCCATGAAGTGTCTACAAGAAACCACACATAGAGGGCGCTACATGTTCTACAGGTACACCGGAATGACAGGAGCCCGATGCATAATTTGCTCTATCGCTTTTGCTTCTATGGCTATGGGAGGCGTGATCACGGAGTATATAGTGATGATGTGTATATATATATATATATATTATTCGATATACAGCAAACTCATGCACTAGTGGGCATTTCACAAAGTTTGGCTGGGCTCTTTACTATATAATTATATAAGTATATGAGTTAGATCGAGTACACAGATATATATGCATATATATATATATATATATATGTGCTATGCATATGTATTCGCATGTGTATATCCATGTGGGTTCGTTTGTGTGTTTGGAGATGCAACCCTCGCAGAACTCTCACACACACGTAGGCACATGTAGCTGGCATGCTAGGCCACATTGTTATTGGGTGATGAGTATATGTGCATGTACATGTGATATGTATGTATATACCTATATATCTATATATATGTATACATATATGACTCACTAAGAGACAATTACCTGGCATGGTAACCTCATGTATGTAATATGCGTGCATCCACCCAGGGTTGTGACTGTGTGCTACATATGCCGGTGATTCTAGATAGTTTCTATGCACGTTTTCTTAATTCTTGTTATAACTATATGGGCCTCTACATTCCTGTCCCCTGCCATTAAGGCCTCTCCTACTTCGATTGCCAGCGCTGGTGCATCAGCCGAGCCAATCTCACCGGCCACAGTCGTGGGTGCTGTGAACAAGGGCTCCGGTGGCAATTCCCCAGACCAGGTGTTGGAGAATGCTCTAGTGGTTCCGACCCCTTCGCAGCAAGTTGCAGAGGCCAGTGATTTGTTGACACGATCGAGTCATCATCCAACATAAGCCCTGAATCCTCAACCCCCGAGCCCCAGGAAACCAGTTATATCAGAAGCATCCCGGCCTCTAGTCGTGGATACAACCAATGTCGTGTACTACTTGATCGAAATAAGCAAATGCTGCCTTATTGAATATATAGGTATGAACAAAGAACCCCATCTTCTAAACCTGAATTAATATGAGCAAAACAGTTCAGATCCTATTTAGGAAACCCACAGTCGTTACCCTCTCAGGCTGCTGCGGCGCCACAGGCCAAGCAGCTCGCATTCTCGCCCAGCGAGGACGAGGAGGAGCTGCAACACGAGCAGGCAGAGGACAGTTTGTGTGAGAAGAAGAAGCCGGCCGCAAAGCGCCCGTTGAGCAGAAGAGTGAATTGGCTTGATCATTCAGATTACAGCTATAGTGCAATGCTTGCAGTGTACAGTGTACAAACGATCCCACAACCTCCACCAAAGCCTGACCCTAGAAACATTAATTTACTAAACCCCAAGGCCCCAACCCCATCAACTCCTCATCATCCTGATATATTGGGAACAAGTCTGTTCTCACGTTTAAATGCACTCTTAGCTGTAGTGTGTGTATATATATATACATATGATTCTTTAATATAGATCTCTATCTCTATCTATCTATATATCTATATGTATATATATATATACAGACATAACTGCATATGCCTCTCTAAGCAAGATCAGATTGTGCAACCACACCATCCCCCTCAAACCCTCAGCCAAGCTTAAACTATCATCAAAACTTTGCACACCCAAGGAACTCCTCCGCAACGCTGCCAAAGCACGCATCAGACGTATGATCAAGGAGAAAAAGACTCGCACGGATTTGGCCGTGCCGGCCTTCGTAAAGGAAGAGTGGCTGAAGGGGACGGCGTCGAAGGATGGGCTTGCCGAGCTCCTGCAGGAAGTGAACTGGGATAAGGCAGGTTTTCTTACAGACTCATTCCATGTAGATTCTGTTGTTCACATGCATCTAGACTGTAGAGGAGCTACTTGCCTAGAGTGGTTCGATCATTCCAGCTTGCACCTGTTGGTGCAGACGAAGTTCGTGAACCAGTTGGAGTTGGTGGTGAAGAAAAAGCGAACGATGGAAGTCGTTCGTGACGAAGGCTGGTATTCCGAACTCGAGATGAAGACAGAGTTGGGCTGGTCAGCGTCCCGCCCTGAGCCAGCATGTGCTGTCTCACACTGAATACTGAAATCGGCTTCTATCCGAATTCTCTTATCGAGTTGAAAACCTTATGGGGGAATCGGAACTGAGGACACGCATAGCCGGTGCTATCCAGATTTGCAACAAGACGCCGAGCACTCACATTCGGTGCCTCGGCAACAGAAAGAGCTCTGCGATACCGTGATGCCACCGATGGCTGCCTCATGTGCAATTAAATTAACATACAGCATGGTCCGTGCATGTGGCGGTTGGCATGCATGTCGTGGTACGTGCTGATTGACTGAGGCGCAATCAATATGACGGAGTTTTGGAGTACTGGATTGTGGTCAGGGAAACAGGCAGACATGCCGAGAGCTTGACGGAGGAGGAGACCCATGCTAGCAGAAAGCAGGCGCAAAACCTGATCTCATGCATGTCTAGATCTGTTCAGTTATATGCATGCATGTCTAATGTGCAACGCTGCAAGGCTTTCACAGGGGGCTTTGATCGAGGTTTCATGATGTTCTTTGTTTGTTTGTTTGTTTGTTAAGAGGTGCTGTGTGACATGATGTACAGGCAGATGGCGAAGTCAAGCTGGATGCCAACAACTTCCAAGCCCTGAACGACATGAAGAACCGCTCCAACAGCACTGAGCTGGCCAAAGCTGGCGACCCCGGCCGGTCGGATATGGAGGCAGCACCAACCGTGGGCACCTGCATGTTGTGTGCACGTGTGTGAATAACATGTTGGTGGTTTGCATGCACTTCATGCATTCGCTTGCGTGCATATGGCAATCCAGTTTCATCCTGCCCTGCAGCAAAAATCTTTGTTCCAGAACTTCATGGACAGCTTGCTACAGAAATCTTCGAAGTTGCGATCCCTCGCCAAAGACCTTAGCAAGAATTACAAGATGGATTCTGCAACGCTGGATCCTTATCGTCCCAGGTGTGCACAACATAAATCATGTAGTTAAAATTTAAGCAGTACCACAGGCCTCCATGCTGGCATTCGCATCCGCTCACCCAGGTCAATCTCGACCTTGGAGACGCATATCGCAAGTTTGGAGTCTGAGCACGAGAAGCTGAATCTACACATGGCCCAGGGTGAGGTCTCGGGCTTCGGGAACAAGAACAAGTGGAAGCCTGAAGCGCGGTAGTAGAAAATCTTTAGGGTCTCCGGACTCCATAGCACAAGCATGCACATGTGCTGTTGCACCTGATGCTGATAAGCTTCCTTGCCTCTCTCAGACTCCGTGTGTGCTAAGGTGGTGGGAGACAGCAGAGAAAATGATGAAGGATGCCACCTTTGTGTGGCTCGCCAAAAAGTAAAAGTATATCATATAGGTACTGTACGGTGGGCTATGTCGAGGGCCATTATGAATGCTAGATTGGGGTCTGAGGTCGAGCAAGGCCACGGCTTGTGATCTTCGGATGAGGCACGCAAAGCTGTGCTTCTCATGATTTGAATCCTGCTATGTTTTTTGCAAACGAGTTCAGTCCTGTCCGAAGTTTCAATCCCCTATAACTTCTATAACCCCATGTACATATGTATACATATATAGATGTATATAAATAACTGTATGTGTATCTATATATCCCTATGATACACATATATATATATATATATATATATTTTTTTTTCAAACTATAGAATGATATATCTATACATCTATATATCTATATACCTTAGTTTAATATATATATATATATATATATATATATATATAGTACATCTAACATAGATAACGACCTATATCTATGTTTCGATCTCTTTATTTCTGTCTCTCTGTCTATTTATCGATATACCTATTTGTCTGTCTGTCTCGCAAGTGTCCTAGTGTGCTTAATAATCTACTTACCCTAAATAAACCCCGATATATTATATTACCTAACTATCAAAGAACCCGATCTTAAAACCCTGCAGGAGCCAAAAGAAGCACCTCGAGAAGACCGGGAAGCCCGAGGCCTCTGAGGCACCCAAGGCCAAGGCAGCCCCCACTCGGAAAACGGCTCCGAAGTCAGCGGCGGTGCCTGAAGCAAAGCGACGCAGAAGGGCTTCCAAGTAGGGCCATGTGTGCATTCGGCCGATCATTGCTGTCTGCCTATATGGGCTTCGATTCAATGAATCACGTGGTGGGTTATCGACGATGTGTATAGCGCTCGATACATGCAGATATACTGCAAGTGACTTTTCCCCACAAACAGGACCCTTTCCTCACCTGCCAACATGATCTGTGTCATAGGGTTTTGTTAGACCGAATACTCCAGGAAGGTACCCAACCATAATTTCGAAGACGCACATTTTCTGTTTAGCCTATTTGTACTTAATATGATGTGCACTAGCTTCCTCATCACCCCATGCAGAAAAGGTCCTGTTTGTGTGAACCAAGTCCTTCCGAAATTCTTTAGATCGAGACTCTAGATGGCAACCATGCCGATGGGGATACTTTCGCAACCGGTGCTGGCACGCTAGCGTCCCGAAACAAGCACCATTGCATAGCGCACATATGCAATCGAGTCTAGCTTCCCTTGAGCTGAGCTGGACACTCCTTGAACTCAGAATCTTCATGGACCTCTTAGATTAGCAAGCCAGGTGCCGGACCAGCTCTTCGCCAATGGATTTCCAGCATCGGAGATGGGGTCGGGGTCCTGGCCAAGTGCAGATGGTTTTTACTCGGTTTCGCCATCGCTGCTTTGATTGTAAGCATTGTTCGCCAGTTCCAGCATGGCTCAGAAGTACAGGCCTATCTTAAACTACCGCAAACCCTACTTTTTGTAGGTTCTTACTATAAACCCTTATATGGAATCTATAGGGACCCTACAAAAAAGTAGGTTTTGGTAGGTTAAGGAATAGACGCACATTTCTGTAATCGAGCTCTAGTGCTTGCGATGGTGGAAGATCCAGATGAAGAGTTATGGGATCTACTGACGTGTCACAGGAGTGTTTCCCGTCTGCAATTATAAGGTTAAAGCAATCCAGCCCTGAATCAGGTGCAAGTGCTGATGATGCCAAGTGTGTGTGTGTGTGCACGTGTGTGTGTGCGGAAAGAGGGAAAGAGAGAGAAAGAGAGAGAGAGAGAGAGAGAGAGAGAGAGACAGAGAGAGAGGGAGAGAGAGAGAAAGAGATACTACAAACCCAAAGGCCAATCGATAGTTTGTCAGTCAAACCAAGGACCGTGACGGCCCATATCCTTGGAAGAAGCCTTGTACGAGATGTGATGGGCCCCAAAAAGTCCTGCATGATGAGTTTACAAACCAGTACACATCAGCCCAAAGTGCTACAGCGCTGAAGAAGGTCAGTGGAGCTGCTTGGGATGAGGCAAGACTACCTGAGGAGCTGATCGACGACCCGGACGTAATGGCCGTACTTCGTGGGATTGATAATCATAGTCATGTTTGCTGGCGACTTCCAACGAAAGTTCAAACCTCTGGCGGCGTCCTGAACCATGCCGTGAAAACCATGCTCCTGCTCCAGGCAAGGTTTTCTCCTATGATTTTCAAGTTTGGCTTCACCCATGATGCTGCAAGACGTTGGGATCATTCCAATTACGGCTACCGTTTCGAGAAGGATCGGTGGCAGGAGATGCTCATCCTCTACTTGAGCACGGAAAAATCTGGACCCTCGATGTTGGAAGCCGCGCTTATCGAAAAATATAAGAGCTGCTCGGTTTTATTATATGGATTTAAATTGTATATAGTATCATGCTCTTGTAACAGCGTACTTACATTATATGTCAGTGTGAACCATCTGATAGACCACAGTTGTGACAGCATACGAAAGACCTTAACTGCTATACCTAATTAAACTACTATGTCGTAATTTTGGTGGCCAAGCTTCATCGCAACATCTGCTCAACCGAGCCTGCTTTCTCAGTTGCTTCAGTTCCCAACTATGTAGAACAGTCGTACATCATTTAATTGATTTACATCAAACAGAAAGCTTGCAACCGATGAAGGAAAATTAAAGTATAAGGTCTACCGGAGGTAGTTAATATCATGCATCTATATAGCAATATGTGTTGATTGTATATACATACATACATATATACATATAATTATACATATATGTAGTGTGTGTATATAAATATTTACATTGTGTTGTATCTACACACACTCAATTATGTTATATCTAAGATTAATATATATACATATATGTATGTATGTGTATATATATATATATATATAGATATATATTTCCATCATTAATATTTTACACACACGCAACCTTTTATGTTTGTAGATATATACGGATGTAGCTATGCTGGCATGCATGCCAGCAGCGCATACCCACTAAAGTTTATTATGTGTAAGGGTCTATAGGTGACATAGCGTCCCCCTTTTCAATCATTATTTATATAAGCATATCAAGTTTTGAATATATCATATTCCAGATCTGTAAACCGACGTAGGAAATATCGAGGTACTTGAGATACAGATCAGGTAGCACTCGCAGTTGAATTTACGGTTTGTGTTTTTTATCAATGTGCATCACATACACATATATACAACACATATACTTATAGAGAACCTTAAGTTATTCAGCTAGCTAGCTGGCGACCTATATTGCAATGTTATATTCTTTGTTTCGTTAATTTGACCTATATTTACCTATGTAACTGTTAGATAACAGATATACACATGATCTATATATGTATATGACGCTAAATATATTATAATGAATATAGATGATAAAGGAATGTTACCCAATGTTGTTAACACATAAATATCCATGTCCCTGCATATCCCAGGTGTGCCTGGATGTCGAAACATTCTTTCTGGAGGCGATGGCATCGGGACGGATCAATCGGCCTCAGCAGTATTCATGACTTATGTGGTCTTCCGAAGTCTCAGGAACAAGCCCGTGTGTCGATCTTACGGTTACAAATAATTCGATACTGCACATTTGTTTATAGCAGATGCTACAACGTGTACAGCGAGGGCTTTGTCATGCCAGTGTGATGTAGCGAATGCTTCTTTCGAAAGCTGTGTGTGTGTTATGTACACACGCTCGCTAGCCGACCTTTGGGCAGAGCCGAATCAAAACACCAATCGACAGCACAGACCACGCTTTCCGGTTTGTCTGCATGAATGTGAGCTTGCCATGCATATATAGGTGCAACAGCCGCATGAAAAATCTTGTGAATCATTTCATCTGTTTCGGTGCCGAGGCCCCTTGCAAAACGGCGATCCTTTCTGCAAAGGCTGTGGTCGAGGAGATTCCCCAGGCTGCTAGCAGCAGCATCGGCCTACTTGCAAGATGTGATGTGAGGAATAGCGAGCGGGACGTACATCGCATGTCAAGGCGGTGTCGGCTGAGCTTACCAGTGAAGATGACTGAGACCATTGTGCGTGGAATAACTGTTCCGGTTTTGCTACTTAGCTCCTGGCTCCGCTTTATGCTGGGGCACAACATGTGGCATGTCTTGAGTGGGCTGGATGCCCCTGATAAGTCGAGAACATTTGCCCAGTGGAGCGCCTTCTGGGAGGCGTACCGCGGAGTATGTCCGCAGCATCCTATATATGCTCGGGCGGCTCGTGGAGAGATCTGCTTAGGCAGAACAGCCGCTTTCCTCGTTCACGGGGACGAGGGTCGTACACGGAAGAAGTGCGCCGTCATGGTCATTTCTGCACACAGTATTCTAGGCAAGGGTTGCCATGCCGCCACCATTGATGACGACTCCTATGCAAAGCAGAAACTGAATTTCAAAGGACATACATGGGCCACCAGATATCTCATGGGTGTCTTGACGAAATCATACTATGATGATGGACATGGTGATGCCTTTTTCCAGGATTACTTGTCGGTGTTCACAAAGGACCTTTTGGAACTCTACGAGAATGGACTTACTTCCTTGTATGGCGAGAAACATTGGATCACGGTCATAAACGTTATTGGGGATTGGCCATTTCTGGTCAAGGCCTTCTCACTGAATCGTTGCTTTGCCAACGTGAGCAAGAAGGCACACAGCAAGAAGCCGGGTGTCGGGATCTGTCATTGTTGTTTGGCCGACCGCGGGGATATTTGTTGGGAGGATTTCTCAGCGCCAGAGCCAGCCTGGCGAAGCACAATCAATCAGATATCTCCCTTCAATGGCTCTCCAGCTTTGTTGTCTCTTCCACATGACAGGAGCAACCCCCCGTCATTCCTGGGCCAGGATTGCTTCCACGCGTGGCATTTAGGAGCAGCCAAACAGTTCCTGGGATCATGTTTGGTCTTGCTTGCCGACACGTTTCAGGGGAGTAGCATTCCGAAGAAGTTCGAGGCCATGGCGGCTCACTTTTTCGCCTTCTGCAAGGCTCGAAAGATCAACCCGCACATTCGCAAATTGAACCGTTTGACTGTGGGATGGCCGAGCAATGCTGACTATCCGTGTGCAGCCTGGAACAAGGGCTCAACTTCTACGGCTGTTTTACGATGGTTTCTTTGGGCCTGTGAGCAACGGTCGGAGCTCATTGAAAATGACTCCCTGCTACGTGGGGCGTTCTTGGCAGCCCAGCAGATCTACCAATTCTTTTCGAAGAGCTTCAAAGAGCATGTCTGGATTCCTAGTGACCGTGCTTTGGTGATCAGTGGTCATGGTTTCAGGTTTCTGGCCATGCACGAAGGCCTTGCTCAGCGAGCTTTTTCAGAAGGCAGAGCACTCTTTTTATACATGCCCAACCTCCACAGGCTTCACCACTTATTTTACGTGCTCTACGATGATGCAAAGCGCTCCAGCCTATCGCGCAACGTTTTAATTTGGGACTGCCAAATTGAAGAAGACTTTATAGGGCGTCCCAGTCGACTTAGTAGGAGGGTGAGGGTCCAACAGGTCGTTAAACGCACCTTCGAAAGGGCCTTGCAAGCCTCCAATGTGAAATTCATCGAAAGTGGTTTCCTAATTTGCCGTGCACACAGCTCTAGCTGAGGCCTCTTGAATATAGCATCTCAATCAAGTAGGATATATGTCGGCATGATGTGCTAGCTGCTGCACTGTAGTGCGTATCGGTGTGTATATGCACGCGTACATATGTCCTTAGAATGAAGGCCAAAACTCTCAGCTGGCTCAGGCGCCGGCAGTTGCAGGATCAGGAAGTCGGCGACGAGGGCCGAAAAGGGCATCAGAGCAGAGATTGCAAGGGATCGTTTGTGTGGAACTTACCCACTAATCACCCGAACGACCCTCCTTAAGAGTTTTCTCCAGACTTTCAACGCCCAAAAGACCTCCAAAATGACAACAACATAACCCTGTAAATCCCCAAAACAGTAAAACCTGGTTTTGCTTTGAAGAACCTGTGTTTTAGCAGCTACCTGCTTTAAAGCAGGTTTTGGTTGCCGTAGGAAGTGATTGATCTTGGTTCCTCGGGTAGTTGTAGATTGTACTGCTGTAATTGCGTGGTATGTAGCGGAGCTTCGGCTCGACTGAGAGAGAATGGAGTTCGGAACCAGAGGGACTGGCGTTGAGATCAAACTGTTCCCGCCACCAGGGTATCACGGAGAGTTGGAGGGTTAGCATCACCAAGCCTTCCTCGCAGAAGCAGCGTAAGCGCATTAAAACTGCCCGCTGGTTCGTGAGTGGAGTTTGCTAGCGGTGCCATGGGGAAGCCGCGAGACCAGCTCACTGCTGAGGACGTCGCTGGCTCCATACACGACAACCAGAGGAGCGCAATCTCTGGATAGCGAGGCACTCGATAAGGTCAAGCAGCAGCTCAAGTTGGCAAGCAAGAAAGGCTATTCAACAATCGTCGAGAGGTTCGACAATGACGTTGGGTAGTTACACGATGCATGCTGTCAACAGTGGCTGCGATCGCGAATTCCTCATTATTGAGGACATTCCGACGAAGAATGCATTGCCGGCGCAGCAAGGAGCAGAGGTCCCTGGGAGTCGGTGCCTACGGCAGCGGTGGCCTATCGTCCTCCCCGGAGTGACGGAATCGCCCGCCTTATCTACTGCATGCGCCAGATATGAGAACAATCTGGCGAGATTTTATGCCTTGGTCCACAGCTGTTCATCGGACAGAAAGTGGGCTGTAAGGTTTGCAGCAGCTCGCATTGATTTTATCTTTGTTCTTTCAGAAAGGGCCAACGCCGACTATCCTCAACAGGAAGGTCGGCACAAGCGAAGAAGGCCCAAAGCTGTTACAAATGAGCCTACTTTGGCGTTGGCAGATGGGCCCACAGATGAAACTTGGGGCCCATGGCGAGAAATCCGTGCCCCAAAAGTTGAAGAAGTTGAAGAAGTGGAAGAGCCTGAGGCTGAAAACCTCATGGCAGCATCCACGGCTTTTGCCAGCTAGTTTCAACCTTTTCGGCCTCGCCAAATCGTGATTGAATTCCGTTTTGCTGTCAGCCAAAAGAAGCTCTCATTGCGTCTTTTCAGCAAGTGACGTGGCTTGGGGCTAAGCCTAGGACCCCAGATAGAAGCCAGTTTGTCAACGATGTGTACAGTGCCTGGTTCGGTTTTTCCTTCTGCTGTCTCGCCGCCTTCGTCTGCTTCTTCGTGGCACCCGGCCTTTGATTTCACTTCGGAGCCCGCACCTTCCAAGTGCCAGAAAAAGCGTCCTAAGGACGTTAAACCAACAAAGAAGAAGAAAAATAAGTCCAAAAAGACTTCCAGAGCATCCACTATTGTCACACCAACGGCCCCAGACCGCCAGATAGATTATGATCCGATCTTTGAGATTGTTTCCTGTTTGAAAGTTCGTACCAAACCAGTCACTGAGCAGCCGCAACCATATGAGTTTCGTGGCCGAGCTGCAGCTAAGGTATGTTCTTAAGCATCTGTGCCCTGTCAAGCTTATCGCAGATGAGTTTGGTCCCACCAAGTAGCGACGTCTTTTCGACTTGATTGCCTGGCGATGCAGATAGAAGCATTGCTCCAACGATTGTACAGTCTGTGCTGATGCCATTTCTTATTTTTTTCTGCTGATGTAGTCGTTGGCTTTGAGCACACGGCCACATGTTCACAGTCGCCTCGAAAACGAAGGCGAGCTTCGTCTCCGTGAAAGCCAGTTTTTGCATGTAATTAATGTTTCCAATATCTATATTGGCCATCATCTTTAACAGTATGTCAGTACAACGTCATTGTTCACTTTCACTCTGAGCGAAAAATGCAGTTTGTGCAAAATCTGCTGTGTCCTTTATTAGAGCTTTAACAGATTTTGATCCTTAGAAGCTACCCCGCTAGCTGGGTGTGTGTGTGTGTGTGTGTGGAACACCTGTTTGCCAAAGGTTCATCAGTCATGTCTTTCAGTTCTTCCAATTTTTGCAGGGGGACGTGGCATGAGATCAGGGACCACGTCCAATGAAGCTACAGCTACTTGATCTCATGGGAAGCAAAGCTTGGCCAGCTCTGTGTACCTGCAGTAAAGTGCTAGAGATTGCAGCAGAATGGCACTGGAGCCAAGCCACCAACCCTTTCTGAGTGCAGTTTCGCTTGAGGCAAGAGGTAAAGCCTAAACCCTCTTAGAATCCTGAACCTCTGCATGTACCGACTGAGAATAGTGAGATTCCCATCAGTCCAGAGGGAGGATTGCACGAGTGTGTGCACAGCAGGTCTCCAGAAAAAAACGAGGCGCCAAGGCGTGCGGAGTTTGGGCAGCGGGGGCTGCGCAGCTGAGTGGGCTTTCAGCCGCCATGATGGTGAGGCGTCGAGGAGAGCGTGGCAGCCTGCCTGAGACTCGCTACACCTTCAGGGGAGGATGGGCAGTCAGTGGGCATGAGTGGAGCCTGTGAAAGGCCACCCCTGCAGGTGACTGGCTTACTTGTGCGAAAGCAGCATGAACGGTTTTTGCTTGTCAGCGACCGCACAGGCCACCACATACGTAGCTCAGGACGTGGGCCCTGGCCAGCCGCGTGGAGTTCGGATGATGGGTGCAGGGCTTCGTCTTGTATACAAATGAGACTATGACGCCTCGCTCTCTTGACTTCTTTTGGTCGTTCTGAGGCTCCTCTAGCGCCACGGAGCTGCGGAGCCACGTCCGGGATGAGGCTCGGCGGCTCGGCCGCTCGGACGTTGAGCCTCCTTGCCGTGGAGTTGTGGAGGCTCACGGGCCGGGGCCGGCGGGGCCGGGGCCGGGCCGGCTCCGTGGCGCGATGTTCGCAGGGAGCCCAGCGGCGGCAGCGCGTGGCGCGTGCTGCGGACAGCTGTCGGGCCGAGGTGAACTCCTACCGGCCTTTTGCCGCCGACTTCACCAAGGAGGCGGCCTGACACCCCACAGCTTTCACTCCCGACTCCCGCCAGTGGCCGCAGCGCTTTGACTTAGGAGCCTCGGATGATGTGGCCCGGCACCCACGGCCCAAAAGAACCACAGCATGGCTTTCCTGGGGTCCTTCCGAGGCGACCGCAGAAATCTTTTCCTTTGAAGGATGCTCCAGGCCAGTCACGCTGAAATAGCTTCGTGCGCGCTTCGAGTGCTATGGCTCAAAGCAGCGGAGTTTTCATTAACACACGCGGCGGGCCGCGAGCGACGCCGCGGCAGCGGCCCCCAGCCAGGCTGCTCCGTGTAACTCTGTGACCAAACTCTGCGAACTTCACCGCAGCTGCACTGAATCTGCACTTCCTGTGGCTGCAGCCGTCGGCACTTCTTAAGTCCACTTCTAGTTTTGCCAGCCGGTAGCCTGCGGCCCAATCCGGTCTTAGCATCAACAGGCTCTATTCTCGATGATTCTGCCCAAGCAATTGTCGCGAGCACAGCATATGCAGGCTGCAGAATGGTTCGTGGACACGCAAAGCAGCAGGCCGCAGTTTTTTGCGTGCGGTTGGCAGCCGATCCTGTTGTTCGTATTTGCTCGGTCGTGAACGTCGCCGTAGTCGTGTTGTTGAGCTTCGTTTAAGACTTATGCTGGAGATCCCCAGCTACGCGCTCCGACGTGTTTTGGAGGCTCAAGAAAAGAATGCAGCGAAGCAGGCCCTGCAAAGCGCCGCAACGCGCGACAGGCAGAATGTTGCATCAGAGGCTTCAATGAAGAAGAACGGGTCCCAGCTGGATGCCGGCGTCTTGAAGCGATGCGAGCGGAGACCGAGGGTGTGAGCCAGAGAGAGAGAGAGAGAGAGAGAGAGAGAAGAGCTGCCAGCCGTAGGTACTACCTGGGGGATTCGCCTGTCGCAGGGACTTAGGACGGTGCTGTAGAGAGAGCGGGGACGAGGCCGGGAGGCACGATAAAGTAAAGGGTCAGGGAGGTTTACCGACAGGCGAACTCCACAAGTTGCAACGACCACGGGGGAACAATCCCCAAGCACTGCTGCCCCAAAGCCCTTTTCCACCGAAGACGGGGGAAGGGGGGCGCCTAGGCGCGGGCTCCTCGGAGCTTGACCCCAGTGAAGTGAAGTGAAGTGAAGAGAGAGAAGAGAGAGCGGAGAGAGGAGGGAGAGAGGGAGAGAGGGAGAAGGGAGAGAAGAACGACAGCGGTGTAGGGGGTAAACCCTCCTGCACCATGGCAAAAGAAAAAGAAAACAAGATCGACAGTTTCGTGATGTCTCGCTTTCCGGCCTGAAGGCCCAGAAGGCGGGCCTGAAGTTCCAGTGCCCAGCCTGTGGCAACCTCAGCAGTGCTTCGTTGCGACTGCTCACATCCTTGTCCCGCCGACTAGCCGCCACCCCCTGCAGCACCTCACCGCACTCCACCAACAGCTCCTGTACCAAGTGTCCGCCGTACGTGCTGATACTGCCGTAGTTGCCCGCTCGTTTTGTTTTGTGACGCTCGAGCTCGTCACTGTTGACTCCGCCATACGAGCCGACGCTATAGTCCGCCATACGCGCCGACGCAGTTTTGTACTACTGAATGTAGGCCGTGCCCTCTTTAATTTGCTGATATGCTAGTTTACTCCACCAGCATCACCATCATCACCCTCGTGGCCTCATAGCCACATATAGCTCTAGTCGTAGTCTTCTCCAGCCAACTTTAGTACAGTAGGAGGTAAGGCGCCTCCGCACGGCTGCGGCTGAGGCTTCCAGGAGAGCACCAACTACAAGATGCTTCTTGGCCATTTTTCGATGTCTCCCACACGCCGCACGCCGCCTGTGGTCAAAGTGGAGGCTACAGCAGCACTACGACTCGAAGCATCCCAAGTTGCACCTCGACTCTCTAAGAGGCCCCTCAAAGAGGCCTCGACCTGTGTGCCGTCTGAGGACCATCCCTCCTGAAGAGGAGTGCTGCAAGAAGTAGCGGAGCGCGGACTTGGGCTGGGCAAGGCCGCAAGGCCGCAGGGCCGCAGGGCCAAGGTCCAAGCGACAAGGGCCCTTAAGGGCTGGTTGTTTTGATGACGGCCTGAAGGCCACCCGCACGACGAATCCGAAACGGTCGCGCACTCCGAGAAGCGACTCGGCCGAAGCGACCCAGCGCACTTTCACGGCAATTCAGCTCTGAGGCCGTGACCTGGATCGCCGGGATCCTGAAAAGCCTGAGAAGAACCTTTACGAAAATTCGATGCACTGCGCATGGCGGATGGCGAGCCAGCCGCAAGCTTGGCGCTGAAGGGGCCAGGACCGCTGCGGTTGGGATGCCGGTGGTTTTCCCAAAGACTCACACTGGCCACAGCGGCAAAAAGTGCGAGAAGCTTAGCTAAGCTTAGCTGCTTATCCGCTGTCTGTGTCTTGTCCATGCCCTGCAGGCCGAGATGGGATCTGTGACAAGCGGTGCCGTATGGACGTTGGATTTCTCCACGTCTTCTACAAGTGCCAGCCCTTGGAGAAAAGACAGGATAGCAATACCACATCAAGATACATCAAGGCAAGTGCCACCACTCAACATCTCAAGAGGAACATTTGACAATCACTTCAGCTCAAGTGAGTTAGGCCATACTGTAGTTCGGCCTTCCTTTTTCTGGATTGCAGCAGTTTGTGCTTACCTGGTCTTGATGAAGAAGCTGCTCAACCGCTCAGAAATTCGCAAGCACGATGCCGAGCAGGATGATCCACTGCTGTTGAAGTGAACCCAAGCGGGAATCCAAAAAACGGGGAGCGCGGAGAAAGAGCACTGTGCGGGGAAGCGCTTGGGCACTGGGGTTGAAGCGCTCCGGGCAGGTTTACGGGAGCACTGAGCACGCGTGAGGGTTCCGATCTGAAGCTTAGCAGCTGGGGGCTTTACTCAGCCCGCTCCATGTGATGCATGTGAGCAGGCAACCATTTTCACTCTGCTGCATCTTAAGGATCTTGCAGCCAGACGTTGGCTTGTAGTGGTGAGACCCTGCAGTCGAAAAATGACAAGCAGACGGACCCAATCCAGTCAGCACAGTTTTGGAAGCTGCTGGGCAGTTGCAACTGTCTCGGAGATTTCATTGGCTCAGAAGTGCCAGTCAAGACTCTGCGGCGAGGCAGCAGCATAGCAGTGCTGAGACTTTATGACAGAGAGCCATGCACAATTTCAGCCATGAGCAGGGCCAGGAAACGCAGCCTGGAGTGGACTGAGCATGGGGTCCCGAATATCACAGGGCGACGAAAGCCGAACAGAGGGCACTTGGCAGGGCGGGGCCGAGCCTGAGACTCAACACTCTCTAGGCTTGGGCAGTCTAGGTCTCTAGGTCTAGGTGTGGGCCAGAGTTAAGTTCGTGTTGTTCTTTGCTGTGCCTGGTGAGCAAGCAGTTTAAGTCATAGCAGCAGGTGTTTCGCGCAGAAAGCAATTCCGTGCGTCGTCCCTTGCACGAAATCAACAGCCAATACCAACAGTTCTCTTCGCATTAGTGACCTGAATCACGTGTCTGACGTGTCTTTGTCGACCCGTGCTCCTGAGTCAAGGTAAGGTCATTTTGCTAAGACGGGACAAAACAGACGGGTGTGCATCGGTTCAGGGTTGTTGAGATCGTAAGGTTGCACTCCGTGATCTGCAACATTGGCGTGTCATGGCTGCTCCAAAGAAATCGCACTTGCAGTCAATTGGCGGCTCAAGCGCAAAGCGATGGCATGCTGTCCGTCGGCGGAGTGCGCTTCAACCGCGCGCCGCCGCTTTCGGGTGCTCCAACTGGAGCCGCGGAGGTGCCGGCGAACCACCTGCGGTTTTCAGCCTGCCATGGCTCAGCGAGGTGCGGGCAGTAAGGGAGCGGGCCCGCTACGCTGCGCTGAGCTGTCGAGGTGCTGGCCGGCTTCCCTGATGTGGACATGCCGCAGCATGCTTGGAGCAGCACGGCGGCGAATGCTGGCGCCTGCGCAGCACTGCCGTACGGCCTCGAAGGACCCTGAAGCACTTAGCGATCTGCAGAAGCAGCACCCACGGACCCAACAGCTCGAGGCCCAAAGCACCAAGCTCCTCCAGGATCGGCGAGTCTTCAAGCTCGAGCGATTCCTCAGCAAGGCGCACGGCGAGAGAGAAGGTGACGGAAAATGATGAAGTTTGGAGGCGTGGGGTGGGGTCTACAGTTTCCAGACATGTTGAACGGTCCAATATCCCGGTTAAGATTTCGAAGCCGTGAGTGTGCCGGTTGTTGTTGATACCCATCCTGGACGGTTTGACGTCATCTTCTCGTTGCAGGCGTCGGCCAGGCAAGAAGGTGACTCGAATGCAGATTGTGCAACAGGCACCGTTGTAGTCTCAAAACCAAGGTGAGGACGTGGAGGCCAATGCATCAGAGACGGCATCCAAGCCGACACTTATTCTTTGTGTCCGCGTTGTGCGTTGTTTTGGAGGTGGTGCCAGACACTGTCCGGATCCCCGGCCCATCCTGAATCCTGACCCAATGGAGTGATCCTGCGAAGGTACCCGGTGCCTCGGAGGCGAACTTCTCCCGCATCTACGCCCGCGAGGCGTGGGGAGCCTTGGCCCGAGAGACCGAGTTTGCGTCGTGTCGTCCGTGTCGTCTGGCGCGAGGAGTGGGGCGCAGACGCTTTGTCGGGATTGGGGTCGCGTGAAGAAACAACCCGAGAGTCGAATCCCAAGCCTTGCTCACGCCACCTCCGGATTGGAGCAGCTTCTGCTTCGCTGTGCTTCGCTGTGCTTCGCTGTGCTTCGCTGCAAGGTTCCGGGTCTTCCTGGAATCCTTCCTACGTGACAACTCGGTGCGCTCCGTCGTCGACGCAGGCGGCCCGGCATGGGCAACTCATGGAGGCCGCCGCATGCGAAGCTGAAGCCCAAGTGCAGAAGTGCAGGCTGCGGGCACTGGCCTTCAGGGTACCAGAGATTCATGAACTGGCAGGGCGTGCAGAAAACTCAGGGCAGGCTTTCGCGGGTCCGGCCGCGAAGCACATGTTCCCGGCACAAGGCATTACACGGGCATCGACGTTGTGCCATATGTGGTGGCGGAGAATGCCGCATATTTCCAGGAGATTCGTGGCTGAGATTTTTGCGCAAATTGTCGAAGCACAGCCGCATCTGCGGCAGGCTGAGCAGAACCTCGCGACCCATGGGAACATGACTCAGGACTGATTTGAAGCGGAGGTGCTTCGAGTGCCGGCGTTCGAGGCTCTCAAGTGCCCGGGCTCTCTGCGGCGATGCCAGGGCCAGAGCACGCGCACGGACTCTGCTCGACGCTTGCATTGCACCGTGAGCCATGGCAGCCGGCCCAGGTCTCCGAGCAGCTCCCGCCGGCGGAGCTTTTGCTGGTGAAGGCACGGCGTGAACTGCCATTCTTCCACGTTCCGGGCCCCGTTTCGGAGGATGTTTTGATGCACTTGTGGAAGCCTCAAGGACTCAGGGGGCCACCTTAGCCAACACGGCTCACCTTGCAAAAGCATGTCTCGGCGCCGAGACCCAACCGGGCAGTGCACAGCTTCCTCGAGAAGAGCGTCAACTCTGCAAAGTACCGGATGGTGATGTGTGGTGCCTGGAACCTTAGAGACGATCACGGGAGCCCTGGCCCAACGTGGCCGCTAGGCTCGTCCAGAACGAAGTGCCGCGAGTTGCCATACGAGATATGGTGGACATTGAGCCTCGGGCTCGGGACGCTGGTACATGCTGGTACTCCCAGACTTGTGTAGCACCGTGCTAGACCCAGATAGACTCAGGCCAGGGCAGCTCTTGTCCTTCGATATCACCAAACCACCCTTCAGTGCCGCTTGACGCAGAGCATCCCTTTTCTTGCCCATTTTCAAAGCGTTTGTGTGAGGCTCGCTTCGAGCCGGTGTTCCGCTGGAAGAGTGACGAGCCTAAGGCGCGGTTAGCCGAGAGTCACCCTTTCTTTTTGTGCGGCCAGCCCGGCTCTGTCTGCAGGTCGCGCAGCTTTGGAAGAAATGAGGAGCGGCGAAGCCACCAAACCTCGCCAGCGATGCTCTGTGGTGGGGTGACCTCTCTCTGCTACCGCGAGTCAGCTTCAAGCTTGCCAGACTCCGGCCCCCAAGAAGAAGGAACAGGGCGAAATCGCCAAGCAGAAGCGAATTGCCGGAAAACAGACACGCCCCTTGCTCTGCAAAGGCTTGTGAAGAGCTGTAGCCTCTATATTCCATGGATGTCGATAGGCCTTATAGATGACAACAAGGGCCCTGGCAACGGCCTGGCCTACCCGGATCACTTTCCAGGTGCACTCGGCGATGTTTTCTCGTGTCACTGAGGTCTCGAGTCGAAGACAGCGGGACATGAGGCTTCTGTGGCCCAAAAGCGGGACGTGCAACTTGCTGAGTCAGTGCTCGTTCCTTCTGATGCCCTCGCTCCTCTTCGTTGCTTGAGTCTTGTTTCGGCATGCATGCCTGGGCTCAAGCGTGAGGGTTTAAGGTAGCATGGATGTCTTTACTGTGAAGCACAGTGAGATACGGTGTGCAGATGGCCAATGCATCTCATATTAAAGGCCACCACCTTTTGACAGAGCAGAGACATCTCTGAATAACGCATCATGACACAGGACGTGAAGGCAAGTCCATCGAGCAGATCTACCAGAAGAAGACCCAGCGGCACTCTCAGTCCCGTCAAGTCAGCCCGGCAAGGAGTTGGAGGTGTGTCGTGTGATCTCTTGTGCATAGAGCATGCAGCTCACGTGGTTTGGGCTTTAGGCTGGAACATATTCTACTACGACCTGACACCTATGTGGGTTCGACAGAAGCCCAAGTTCAGGCAGGGGTTCAGCTTATTGCTTTACAGCACAAGTGCAACTGAACTTGTTGATGTTTCGAGGACCTCTGGGTTTTCGATGGTGTGCAGAGTCGCATGGTGCATCGAAAGATTAGCTTCGTGCGCGCGCAGGAGTGCCCATCACGTGCCGGGACGTAGGAAGATTGCTTTCCAGGTACCTGCTCTTTACAAAATCTTCGATGAAATCCTGGTGAATGCCGCAGACAACCTCATGCGGGACCCACAGGTGACGCTGTTCTGCTCTTGCGAGCCACACAGCCGCGGCCAACGTCTCGAGCAGGGCATGGACACCATCAAAGTGGAGATCGATCAACAGCAGGGCCTCATCACAGTTTGGAATAACGGCAGGCGTTCTTCCGCTCCCGCTTGCGGCATATGCCACTTTGCCACAATGTGCACAATGCCTGTCCAGGGGTCTCCCCGTCGTTTTGCATAAGGAGCAAAAGGCGTGGTGCTTGAAGTAGCGCGTGATGGGGGATATGAGCTCTCTGTAAGAAGTGCTTCCGCAAGCCTGACATGGGCTCAAGGCTCAAGACTCTTTGCATCCCTCGCCGTGCGATGCATGCTGTCCGTCGGCGGAGTGCGCTTCAACCGCGCACCGCCGCTTTCGGGTGCTCCAACTGGAGCCGCGGAGGTGCCGGCGAACCACCTGCGGTTTTCAGCCTGCCATGGCTCAGCGAGGTGCGGGCAGTAAGGGAGCGGGCCCGCTACGCTGCGCTGAGCTGTCGAGGTGCTGGCCGGCTTCCCTGATGTGGACATGCCGCAGCATGCTTGGAGCAGCACGGCGGCGAATGCTGGCGCCTGCGCAGCACTGCCGTACGGCCTCGAAGGACCCTGAAGCACTTAGCGATCTGCAGAAGCAGCACCCACCGACCCAACAGCTCGAGGCCCAAAGCACCAAGCTCCTCCAGGATCGGCGAGTCTTCAAGCTCGAGCGATTCCTCAGCAAGGCGCACGGCGAGAGAGAAGGTGACGGAAAATGATGAAGGGCGCTGCTCTGGCAAGCGGATGACTGCTTTTTGCCAGATGGAACACAGCTGAATGCCTGAAGGCCGGAGTCTTGAGTCGCCGGGAGGCCGCACGGCGAGTCAAAGCTGGGCATGTGACCGTGAACCAGGCACGGTCTGCTCACGGCGCACCTGGGAACGGGTGAAAATGGGGGTAGAGACGTAGATGTCCAGGCCACCGTTTGGGACCCATTCCATGCCGTCCACGTCCAGTTCGACGAGGTTGAAGTTCAAGGCTTCGGCAAAGTCGTTCTCCCGGACTGGGACTCCACAGCGCCCCGAAGCTCGGAGCCGTAGCTTCCGTTTTCTGCAGGAGACACACTTTGCGAAGCCTAGGACTCGTCCTCTTCAACAAGCCCACTGGCGTGGTCACATCCTTGCGCCCGACGAAGTCGACGAAAGCCACGGACCAGCACCTCCCCGCACTCCAGGCGGTTTCGTTCTGAAAGTACCCTGAAAGTACCGCAGTGGCCCCATGGGCTGTGGCAAGTGGGGTGCCAAAGTGCTCTTCTAAGGATGCCTTGCCTGGAGCCTACCGCGAGCTCCTTGCACCCCACGTGCCGGCGCTGCGGCCTGTTGGTCCGCTAAGCAGCAAATGTTCAAATGGCAATCGAAACTGCAGCTCTTCGCTTGGGTGAATTTCTTGCATGTCTGAGGGCGGTTGGACGTGGCTTCCGCTGGGCTGCTGCTTTTAACAGATTCTTCGGATATGGTGAACCAGCTCACAGGGCCCAACAGCTGCGAGAAGGAGAGTCGGAGCCTGTGCGAGAGCATGTGCAGCGCAGTCTCCGCAAGGAGTATCTGGTGAGCGTCACTCCGGTTCCCAACGATAGGAGCCTCCGGAAACTGCGGGAAGGCCATCCACCTTTGTTTATAATTTATAAGGGTTTGGCTTGTGATCGCATCCCGATTTTCGCAACCGAAAATGCTATTGTCATCGTCGTGGTCGAAGGAAATCTTCGGTTTTCAAGCTCACTCGGCTATACACATCGTGGCCAACCCGACAGGCGAAAGGAACCCTCAATCCTCGTCTGGTTCATGGCTCTCTTGCCATGCATGAAGGGTGCAACTTGGGAAGAAGCATGCTCGAACTTCCGAATGGCATTCACGAAGGTGCCAGTAAGTGTGCACGTGTTCAGGCCTTGATTGACTTGAGTGTTCGCATTGAAGCAATTGGCTGCAGTGGAGACAGGCGAACCAGAATCACCGGGATCTGACGTCAAAGAAGCCTCACTACATAATGCTCGTACATTTGGTTGTGCTCTGTGCGTTCTGCTCTCCTCCCCGCCTCCTTGGCCCCAGTTTCGGAACACTTCGCTTCAGATAAAGGATGTGGGTACAATGAGGCCCGAAGGACCTAGTGACTTGCCATTGCATGGACAGCAGGTTGTTTTCACTGCTACCCAGAGAGAGCCATGGTGACTGTGGACATGTAAGTATGCCACCATGCCATTGCTGATCAGGGTTTATGGTTTCAAACGGACTCTAACTTTCTGGTACTGCGAGCATGGCCGGCGGACTTACACGTATTGCATATTCGACCAAAGGTCTTTGCTGTCATTCTGTGTGATCGCAGAAAGCTCCGGAACGATTTCAGAAATCACATGTTCGATCAGATGTACATTGCGATTGTCGGCCATTGAATATCAAGGTCCCCGTTACTACCGTAGATCGCCGAAGTGCTGGCCATGGAAAAGTGAGCTCATGAGTGCCGCCTGGGATTGTTGATATTTCAAGCGGTAGCGGAGCTTCGGTGTTGCCACTGCTAGTCAGGCGGCGACAGAAGCGCACGAAGACGGCTAGCCAGAGGAGCCAGTGTTATGAGTGGTCCAGGGAGGGATGATGAAAAGCCGCGCTTAGAGCGCTTTGACGGAAGTGCTCCAGCAACTTCCCGAACTCTCAATGAAAGTTATTTCCGTGGTACACACACGTTTCAAGACACAGCGCGCGAAACGCTGCTTTTGTGTCTTGAGCCAAATACGTATTGGGAAGAGCTAACAGCATCAGCTAGGCTCGCCTTCTCCAGTGTCTGTGCGACATAGCACTAGAGTACGGCATGAAGTTGAACAGCAAGAAAACGGAATTGTTGAGCCAGGGCCGCACTGAAGGTTCGGTTTCGGGAAATCCGCATGTAAAATATGGTTTAGTCGGTGCATTCCGGGTACCAAGGTCCGCGTTGCCAGGCGCAGCCTCTAAGGTTGATCCAACTGGAACCTCCGACCTCTATGGTTTAGGCCCATCCTTACCAGTGCAAGAGGAGTTGGGGAATACGAACCTTCACTGCCGGAGCAGCCGCTCCAGGATGATTTTCCTGATTTGTGGGATCTAGATGATGACTGGCGTGATGATGAGGAGGAACTGCAAGAGCAACTGTTGTCGTCTTTTGTGTATGCTGTAGCCGGGACCGACTCTCAGCTAAAACCCATGAGGCTGTAGTCGTTCCACCAGGGGTGACCTTAGGTGAGGAGCCATCCTTCCTTGAGGGTTGGGATGTAGAGGTCCCAGAAGACAAGGTTGAGTTTGAAAGAATGGTTGAGGAACTCATCCAGCCGACTGAACAAGTGGTACTTAGGTACTTCATAGAGCTCAGGTCAAAGACAGGTGTGGATGTTGCCGAAGCCATTCAGAAAATGGTCTTAGAGATCAATAAATTGTACCCTGTGAAAACTGTGCATTGCGACTTGGGTACTGAATTCTTGTTGACTAGGTTGTCCCAGTGGCTGAGCGGCAACTCGATAAGATTACAGCATTCCCTGCCGGCTGACAAGCAGGCCAACGGTTTAGCTGAATGCACCGTAGCCTGGGTGAAGTCTAGATCAAGGACTTTAATTGGTTCGGCAGGTGTGAGTGTGCAGTACTGGCCTCTCGCCGCACGATGGGCCGCTTCCCATGTTCGACAGGTTGAAGAAACCACGCGGTGGACTAAATGACTTGATGTCTAGATGGGTGATGACAAGGTACATGTGTCCACATTCTGTGATTCCTGAAGGCCATGTGTTACTTACGGCTGAAGGAAATCTTGTTGCGTCAAAGGGCTTACGTGCCAATACAGTAGATCCAGAGGCGATGTTGGGTCTAAGGCCTGCCCCTTTACAGGAGGCCCCGGAGATGCTTGATGGGGGTGTTGACAATGAGCCCTCCCCACCGGCCAGGAGACTTCGAGTGAAGACAGCAGTAAGATTCCTTGAGATTGGAAATGAACCTTCAGTGGAAATGCAAGCGTATGGGGCTTAGGGTTCAAGATTTCTCGGATGCCATGTTTCAACGGCCTCCTGGATCATAGATGGGATGAATCAGGTTCAAGATAGACGGGGTGAGTTTAGTGGCCGTGCTGTGTTTGGTGCCTATTGCCACGGTGGCAACCGGGGTGTCACTCGACTGGCCCACAAACATCCCTGGCTGACAAGGTTTCTGAACCAGTACATGAGGACCAGGCTTGAATCGATAGAAGCCAGTGATGGTCAGGTCTGGACTTCTCTCATGATCATCCAAGCCGGGAACGTTGACATGCACAGAGATTTCTGTAATGAGTGGGGATCAAAGAATGTTGTTGTGTGTGTGTGTGTGTGTGAGCCAGGCTCTGTCGAGCTATGGGTTGATCAGTCTGAAGATAAGAAGGTCATTCCATTGGAGCCCCACTGGGATGAAGGTGGTACTCAGGTGCTGTCGAGCACACCAATCATGTTCGATCCCAGGAGGAGGCATGCTCTGCGCAAGAATTCTGATTTACTGTTGGTCGCCTACTCCCCTTTGGGTTCTAGTAAGCTCGTCCCTTCGGATAAATCCTTCCTGGAGGCATTGGGTTTCCTATCGCCGAGTGGTTTAGGTCCCTCTGCAGAGGTTAAGGTTGTGCGAGCCCAGGAGAGGACCAGGTGATCAGGAGGAGACGGATCAATCATTGACCACGGACATTATGTCTGATCTTCAGGAAGATAGTGTAGCACAGGTTGTGGGTTGGGACCCGGTTGGAAGCAATTCAACTAATGTTCCGCAGCTAAATCTTGAAGGGGCGTGATCTATATGAATTCTTCGATGAGAGGGAGGTTAGTCGCGCAATAGCAAGAATGCTGGAATTCATGGGTGTGGAGTCGCCAGCAGATTTGGTATTCTTGTATTTTGAGGATTTAGTAGAGTTTGGAGTGTCTCCTGAAGAGGCTGAGCGTGCCATGAGGGGAATACATCCATTAGGAACAAGAAGACCAGATAATCCCACCTTGTGTGCACTCAGGACTGGGGAGGTAAGACTTTATGATCGTAATCAGCGTCAGATTCCTTGGGTGTTTCAGAATAGGACTTTGGACCAGCATGCGCCTGAGCCACCCGTGCAAGGTTTAGGAATACAGTTGCCCCATAGGGTAGCTGCAGGAGTTCCCGATCAAAGGGTTTGGCTTGAAATTGAAGAAGAGCGAAGGAATGCGCAAGGAGGGCACATTGCCCCTGAGATCGATGATCCAGTTCGACAGTGGCCAGCAGCTCATCAGATGGAGGACCCTTTCCTTCATCAATGCATGGACATTGGACTGCAAACCAGGCAGAAATGATTCGCCTGCAGAACATATGGGAGTGTGACTCTGCGGATGAATGGAACCTTGGAGTACAAGAAGCGATGATGAATATGTCTAGTAGCGTGACTGGGCCTCAGGCAGCAGAGCCGAATGTAAATCAGGTCGATAATGCCGCTGAGATCTCAGTTCTCCCGGCAGAATCGTCCCAGTCGCAGGTCCATGATTTTATGTGCAAGGCTATCAGGTCTCCGTCTGGTGCAAGTGCAGTGCAGAGGGGATTGAAGGCTCTGAGGTACGTGCAATAGGTGTGCCGACGTGGGATCCAACCAGTGCTTTGACTCATCCTCCTAGGCCGTGGGCGTCGAAGAATCCAGGTCTGTTCGCAAGGTAGATGAAAATACTTACACCAAGGACGTTGAGGGCATTTTGAGCTCGCTAACTTCGGCGTTGAGGGTTGTGCATAACGTTTCGCCAAGCGAGATCGACTTTATATTGAAAGATGGACAAAGGCTGCGCAAACAGAGGTCACAGCGCTTGAGGGAATGAGAGCAACTCGCAGGTTGAAAGGTCAGGAAGCAAAGCATGAGTTGAGCCTTCCTGAAGAATTGCACGCAGAGCGGCTCAGTGGGGGGCTCAAGTCATCATTGAGGTGCCTCCTCATGTACCTGTCCAAGAAACCAAGCAGTATAAGGCATTATGCGCCGATGGTCTATGGAAGAGCATCAAGATTCAAGGGTGCACCCATGGGCAGCGTCACGTTCTCCGGTTCCCCGAAGTTCCAGGAAGTGAGGTTGGACTCGGCTACTGCAAGAGTGAATGGGAGTTCTTTGCCGCAAACGTCGCGTTGCAGCCTAAGTCGTCCGATATGTGTACCGCAAAACATGCCCACATCAACGATACGGACGCTAAGAACCGATCAGATAAGTGCGAGTTGACCAGTCAAGTTTCCAAGGGTGCCAAACCCGATCGCATGATCGTCGACCTTTGCGGGTTGGGCAACGGCAATGCCGGGCCCAAGAACGCTAAAGGTTGCGCTCGTATCTTATGTAAGGATATGATTGGTTCGAAAGCCGATGAGGACAACCTCATCAGCATGACCAAGAAGTTGTGCCGGAACGACCTGCGCACACCTGTGCTTTTCGTGGCATCGCTTTTTGCGATCAGGTGCTGGTCCTGGAGGCAGCGAAGGGACTTGTGTGGGGGGTGAAAATCGTTCTGGTGGGAAGTACAAAAGTTTTAGGAGTGTTTTGAAATCTTTCAAACGCCTGCTGAAGAAGTGTGAGGAATTTTCCAATGTCTATTTTTCGCTTGACATGCCTTCTTCATGTTCATGTTGGTCTTGGCCTGATTT